GTGTGAGTACCTGTGCATGTGAGAGTGAGCGAGCAAGCGTGTGTGCAACTTGCATAAATCTGTCTGGCACCAGCAAAATGGCTCAACCATCATTAGAGACAGAGGTCCCTTCCCTCCTATTGGGGACCTCCTATCAAGAGGTCCCTTGACCTGCTCCCTCTCCTCCAGCTTCACCCCTGTCCAAGGAGGCTGCTTCTGATCCCAGGATTTTACTGGGTCGGGGACTGGGGAAGGGCGTCACCTCCTTTCCTTTACAGGCATGACCAGGCGTGGCCCCCACCACTTATGCCCACTTCCCACAGGGCAGGACGTAGCCACCCGGACACGCCACGCAGTCAGGGAGTCTGGGAAACATTCTCGTTAGGGGAGGGCTCTGGGGAAGAAGGGCTGGTGGACATTGGTGGACACTGGCTCTCCTAGCACAGCTGCCCAGGTGCTCTGCAGAGTGGATATTTGTGAAACATTCGAAAGGCCCCGTGACCAGGCCCGGTGGCTCACACCTGTAATCCCAGAACCGTGAGAGGCCAAGGCGGGCGGATCACGAGGTCAGGAGTTCAAGACCAGCCTGGTCAACATGGCGAAACTCCGTCTCTACTAAAAATACAAAAGATTAGCCAGGTATGGTGGCGGGCGCCTGTAATCCCAGCTACTCGGGAGGCTGAGGCAGGAGAATCGCTTGAACCCGGGAGACGGAGGTTGCAGTGAGCTGAGATCACACCACTGCACTCCAGCCTGGGCGACAGGGCAAGACTGGGTCTCAAAAAAAGAAAGAAAAGAAAGAAACTACTCCCAGACTCCCTGCCTGGGTGGGATCCTCTGATCAAGCCCTCAGCATGCCTGGGAACTTCTCTTCACAATAAGTTTGCATCTGTTTGTGTGACTCCAGGCCTCCCCTTATTTTCTTGAACAGGCCTCATCTGGTTTTGTTCATCTTTTTTTTTTTTTTTTTAAACGGAATCTCGGCCGGTTGCCCCGGGTGGAGTGCCGTGGCGCGGTTTTGGGCTCCCTGCAAGCTCCGCCTCCCGTGTTCACGCCATTCTCCTGCCTCAGCCTCCGGAGTAGCTGGGACTACAGGCGCCCGCCACCTCACCCGGCTAATTTTATGTATTTTTAGTAGAGACGGGGTTTCACCGTGTTAGCCAGGATGGTCTCGATCTCCTGACCTTGTGATCCACCCACCTTGGCCTCCCAAAGTGCTGGGATTACAGGCGTGAGCCACCGCGCCCGGCCTGGTTTTGTTCATCTTTATGTCTCCAGCATCCAGCACAATCCCTGGCATTATGGTCATGGCTCCATAAAAATGTCATGAACACACACAGAAGTGCGTGCATGCACGAATCAATTAACAATGCATGAAAAAGCAATCTCCCCGTCCTGGAAGCAGCTTCCCCTAGGGTGGGGGTGGGGTGCGGAGGCAGGGACAGCCAGTGATGTCACAAGAGGTGGCTGGGATGGAAGGTTCTGGAAGGTTGAACGGGGTAGAAGGCCTGTTGTGGAGGGAAACCACCCAACCTCCTGCCTGCCACCACCACCATCATCCTGGCTGGACAGAGAGGGTGACGGGGGCTGGGAAGGGGCAGCTCATGTTCAGGTTTCCAGGAGGGGCTACTTGTTTACTGTCTTTGCAGGAAGAAGAAAACACCTGAGTGACCAGATGTCCCAGCTCCAGGTGCCTTGCCAGATGGCCAGAACCACACCTCTTGAAGAGTGACAGGTGCCAGTGGTATGGGAGAAGGGCACGCGTTTTCTTTTTTTTTTTTTTTTTGAGACAGGGTCTCACTCTTTCTCCCAGGCTATAGTACAGTGGCATGATCTCAGCTCACTGCAACCTCTGCCTCCCAGGCTCAAGCGATCCTCCCACCTCAACCTCCTAAGTAGCTGGGATTACAGGCGCCCACCACCATGTCCAGCTAATTTTTTTTTTTTTTTTTTTTTTGAGACTGAGTCTCACTCTGGTGTGATCTCGGCTCACTGCAAGCTCCACCTCCTGGGTTCACGCCAGTCTCCCGTCTCAGCCTCCCGAGTAGCTGGGACTACAGTCACCCACCACCACGGCCAGCTAATTTTTTGTATTTTCTTAGTAGAGACGGGCTTTCACCGTGTTAGCCAGGATGGTCTCGACCTCCGATCTCGTGATCCGCCCACCTCAGTCTCCCAAAGCGCTGGGATTACAGGCGTGAGCCACCGCACCCGAACCCTACATGGCCTTTTAAAATTGCAAAACATATAATGCATGTAAAATAACACAAAACATACCTGTACGATTTAATGAATAACAATAAATATCTGTGTGCCCTTTTCACTTCGTGAAATCGAATATTACTAGTAACTTACAAGTCCTCTGTGGAGAACTCCTGAGCTCAAGTGCTCCACCTGCCTCGGCCTCCCAAAGTGCTGGGCTCAGAGGCATGAGCCACCACGCCCAGCCTGCATGCATTTTTGCACATCTGCTGGGGGTGAAATGATCGTGTGATTTTTAACGTGCGGTTCCCTGATGACCAAAGCTCCTGAGCATCTTGTCCAGGATTTATAGCCCATCCAGGCTCCTCTTTTGTGACCTGCCTGCTTACATTTTTCGTCATAAAACACTGGGTTGTTAACTTTTGTCTTTTAAATCCAGAGTTCTTGTCATACTCCGGATACTAATTTTATTTGCCCGTTTTGCATTACCATAAAGTAATACCTGAAGATGGGTAATTTATAAAGAAAAGAGGGGCCTGGTGCGGTGGTTCACGCCTGCAAATCCCAGCACTTTGGGAGGCCGATGTGGGGGGATTGCTGGAGGTCAGGAGTTCAAGACCAGCCTGGGCAATATGGCGAGGCCCCCAGCTCTACAAAAATAAAAATAAAAATAAATTAGCCAGGCATGGTGGCATGCACCTGTAGTCCCAGCTATCTGAGGGGAAGAGAGTCCCAGGCAGAGGGCTGGTGTAAGAACCACGTGCATGTTAGAGGGCTTCATTCACCAAAGCGTTTACTCAAGTTGTTGCCTGCTGTGTTCCTGCGCTCACTGATAGAAACATTTACAGTCCATAAAACATTACTGCAAATCTAGAATTCAGAACAACTGCTTGATTCTTGTATCGAGTACACTCTTTATCATGAACAAAATCGCACAATTTTCCTCCCTGAAAGCCACTGGAAAAATCAGTTTCAATAAATATCAACCAATAATTTGGCCTCCACTTCCCCCAGGGGACAAAGTTGACAATATCTGGGGACATTTTTGACTGGAATAAATTGATATTTAGAATTTGTGATTTTAGGCCAGGCGCAGTGGCTGACACCTGTAATCCCAGCACTTTGGGAGGCCGAGGCTGGTGGATCACCTGAGGTTGGGAGTTTGAGACCAGCCTGACCAACATAGAGAAACTCTGTCTCTACTAAAAATACAAAATTAGCCAGGCATAGGCTGAGCGCAGTGGCTCACGCCTGTAATCCCAGCACTTTGGGAGGCCGAGGCGGGCGGATCACGAGGTCAGGAGATGGAGACCATCCTGGCTAACATGGTGAAAACCCATCTCTACAAAAAATACAAAAAAATTAGCCGGGCGTGGTGGCGGCGCCTGTAGTCCCAGCTACTCAGAAGGCTGAGGCAGGAGAATGGCGTGAACCCAGGAGGCGGAGCTTGCAGTGAGCCGAGATCGCGCCACTGCACTCCAGCCTGGGTGATAGAGCAAGACTCCATCTCAAAAAAAAAAAAAAAAAAAAATTAGCTGGGTATGGTGGCCTGTAATCCCTGCTACTCAGGAGGCTGAGACACAAGAATTGCTTGAACCCAGGAGGTGGAGGCTACAGTGAGCCGAGATTGTGCCACTGCACTCTAGCCTAGTCAACAAAACAAAACCCCATGTGATCTTAAGTCTGATTACTGATAAATGTTTTCTAAAGAGATGGCATTGATTTTACCACAATGAATGAGAGCACCTGTTTTCCCACATTTTCATAATAGAAAATATTGTCAACTTTTTTTATCTTAGTTAACCTGAGAGGTGAAAACTGCATCATATTTTCTATTGTATTTCTCATAGGACTGAGTTTGAGCATGTTTTCTTCTTCTTAAAAGTCATTTTTTAGTTTCGGATAATTATCTGTTCGTGTCCTTTGCCCACTTTCCCTTTGGGTTTTGGTCTTTTTCTGACTAACTCCTCAGGGTTCTTTACATATGAAGGAAATCAACCTTTTATATTTTGGATGTATTGTCCATATCTTTCCCTAATTTGTGGATCTCTTGATTTTTGTTTATGGTATTCTTTGCTATGTGGAAAATTTAAAAATTTTATGTAGCAAGATCTATCCTGTTTCTCCTTTAGGCCCTTTGAGTTTTCATATTAATACTACCTTTAAGAGAAGGTAAATGTGTGGTCCCATGAGAGTTTCTTTCCCTTGGGAGGCTTCAAAATGTTTTCTCGCCCACAGAGTTGTGTATAGGCCCAGACTTTTTCTGCAAACTCACAGATTGAATACCCTCTGGGGCCGGGCGCGGTGGCTCAAGCCTGTAATCCCAGCACTTTGGGAGGCCGAGATGGGCGGATCACGAGGTCAGGAGATCGAGACCATTCTGGCTAACACGGTGAAACCCCGTCTCTACTAAAAAATACAAAAAACTAGCCGGGTGAGGTGGTGGGCGCCTGTAGTCCCAGCTACTTGGGAGGCTGAGGCAGGAGAATGGCGTGAACCCGGGAGGCGGAGCTTGCAGTGAGCTGAGATCCGGCCACTGCACTCCAGCCTGGGTGACAGAGCGAGACTCCGTCTCCAAAAAAAAAAAAAAAAAAAGAATACCCTCTGGGTTTTACAAATGCTGTAGTATCTGGCATGTCCGCCACTCTCCTCTCCTCCCAGGCCCAGGACAGGCATGACCAATGGATCCCAGGATGCTAGGCAGACATGACTAGTGGATGGAGGAGTTGGCCTCATACCTACAGCCCCTTTACCAATCCTGTTCAACTCCTGCTTTTTTGCCTTGCAGTACTGTGAAGCATGGTTTCTGCACACCTTGAATGATTGGAACCCCAAAGACTCAAGAAGGAGCTAAAGATCTTGAAGTAGACATGAATAAAACACAAGGTATATTGCACTAAAGAGTGCGTGGGAGAGAGAGAGGCACATTGATTCCACAAAGGCTCTTTGCAGAGGAGTCTGGATCTAGAAAGACGTAGCCATTCCTTGCCTGACCCTGCTGACCCCCACCCTCCACCCTTTTTTTTGAGACAATGTCTTGCTCTGTCATGCAGGCTGGAGTACAGTGGTGCCATCATAGCTCACTGCAGCCTTGACCTCACAGGCTCAAGTGATCCTCCTGCCTCAGCTCTCCAAGTAGCTGGGACTACAGGTGCACACCACCATGCCCAGCTCTGTATTGTTTTTGGAGAGACAGGGTTTTGCTTTGCTCCCCAGGCTGGTCTTGAACTCCTGGGCTCTAGCAATCCTCCTACCTTGGCCTCCCAAAGTGCTGGAATTACAGGTGTGGGCCACCATGCCCAGCCTGGGGCCTATTTTCTACTCTTGATAAGGTGTTGAGGTAGTAGGGCAAGTGGTTCACGTAATTCAGAACTCTGCTCTACTGGTCATGTGACACTGGGCAAGTCACTTGCCCTTTGGAGGCCTCATTTGCATATCTGAATGATGGGGGCATTGATAACAGCACCTCCCTGTCAGGATGGTGAGCCCAAGTGGATAAAGTACCCAGGAACCATCCATGTGGATATGGTGTGGATATGATCATAGTGACTTATTAACATTAGGCTGTAATCATTTTACTGCCAGAGCTAAAGTCAAGGGACATGGTGACATCATAGACAGCTTTGATACCAGTGGGCTGGGGGAGGTCCCCAAACGCCGGTGGGACCTTGAACCCAGCCATTGTCCAGGCTCTTGACACTATCGAGAGTGAATTCAAGAAACAAGTCAGAAAATAGTGAAAGTGGGCCAGGCGCGGTGGCTCACGCCTGTAATCCCAGCACTTTGGGAGGCTGAGGCGGGCGGATCACGAGGTCAGGAGATCGAGACCATCCTGGGTAACATGGTGAAACCCTGTGTCTACTAAAAAATACAAAAAATTAGCAGAGTATGGTGGCAGGTGCTGTAGTCACAGCTACTCAGGAGGCTGAGGCAGGGGAATGGTGTGAACCTGGGAGGCGGAGCTTGCAGTGAGCCAAGATCACGTCACTGCACTCCAGCCTTGGCCACAGAGTGAGACTACGTCTCAAAAAAAACCAAAAAACAAAAAAACAAAAAAAAAACTGAAAGTACTGAGGTTTATGGCAAATAAAAGTACTTGCATTGCAAAGTACATATTCAAGGAGAGGGAGTGTGGGAGTACTTGAAAAATAGCGTCACGCACAAAAGGAGTTTGGGGACCTTTATGGGTCCAAGGGGTGGAATATTTATCTAAATCTCTAGAAAACTGGCTGGCCTCAGCACTTTGGGAAGCTGAGGTGGGCAGATTGCTTGAGGCCAGAAATTTGAGACCAGCCTGGACAACATGACAAAACTCTGCCTCTTAAAACTACAAAAATTAGCCAGGTGTGGTGGCACATGCCTGGAATGTAGTGAGTCTCAACTCACTGCAACCTCTGCCTCCCAAGCTCAAGTGATTCTCGTGCCTTGGCCACCCAAGTAGCTGGCATTACAGGCATGCACCACCATGCCTGGCTAATTTTTTTTAACAAAGTGCCCCAAACTGAGTGTCTGAAACAACAGAAACGTATTGTCTCACAATTCTAGAGGCCAGATTTCTGAGATGAAGGTGTGGGTAGTGAGGTTGCAGTGAGCCAAGATCGCACTACTGCATTCCAGCCTGGGCAACAGAGTGAGACTCCGTCTCAAAAAATAATAATAATAGGCCAGGCATGGTGGTTCACGCTTGTAATCCCAGCACTTTGGGAGGCCAAGGCAGGCGGATTGCCTGAAGTCGGGAGTTCGGGACCAGCCTGACCAATATGGAGAAACTCTGTCTCTACTAAAAATACAAAAGTAGCTAGGTGTGGTGGTGCATGCCTCTAATCCCAGCTACTTGGGAGGTTGAAGCAGAATTGTTTGAACCCGGGAGGCAGAGGTTGCAGTGAGCTGAGCCTGGGCAAGAACAGCAAAACTTCATCTCAAAAACAAAAATAAAACAAAATAATAATAAAAAAAATAAGATGGGGCCAGGTGCGGTGGCTCATGACTGTAATCCCAGCACTTTGAGAAACTGAGAGAGGATTGTTTGAGCCCAGGAGTTTGAGATCAGCCTCAGAAACACAGTAGAACCCCATCTCTACAAAACATTAAAAAATAAAATTAGCTAGGCATGGTGGTGTTCACCTGTAGTCCCAGTTATTTGGAAGGCTGAGGTGGGAGGATGGTTTGAGCCTAGGAGGTCGAGGTTGCAGTGAGCTGTGATTGTGCCAGTGCACTCCAGCCTGCTGACAGAGTAAGACTGTGTCTCCAGAAAAAAAAAGAAAAGAAAAGAAAAAACAAACAAAAAAACAAAAAACAATGGACAGAACAAAAATAGCAGGACAGATGTGTGATAATATATAGTAAAATGCTAGCAGTTGTAGAATCTAGGTGTTGGGTAAGAAAGTGCTTGGTATACAATCCTTTCCACTTATTAAATTTTTTTTTGGGGGGGAATGAAAAAATAAATAAAGAGAAAGGAAGCTTGTCTTGCCAGTGTTGACCACATAACTTCACCCTAAAAGGGGATTAATTCAACTCTCAGCACCTTAGGTCCAAAAAGACACCAACCGCCCCCTATCCAAAGTTGTTAAATAAATTAAAACATTTGCCACCCAACTCTGGTAACTATTTGCAGTTACTCCCAGGCTGTGGACCACCTGTCGAGATGGAGAAGTCCTTCTGAGGCTATCCAAACATGGACCGGGCCATGAGACCCCGATGACTATCCCTGAATTTTTTCGAGAGTCAGTCAACCGATTTGGAATTTATCCAGCCCTTGCATCCCTGAACGGCAAAAAATGGGAAGTTCTGAATTTCAACCAGTACTACGAGGCTTGTCGGAAGGCTGCAAAATCCTTGATCAAGGTAAGATCCATTCATTCATTCTCCTTTGTTCAACCATTCATTCTGAATAGGTAATACACATACATATATGTGGTACAAAATTCACAGGGCACCAAAAGATACAAAGGTTAATTGGTGAAAAATTTCCCTCTGATTCATGAGCCTCAGACATCTAGTTCCTCTCCAAGGAAGCAGCCACCATTGTCAGTTTTTTGTGTATCCTTTTGGGAAATAGATTATGTATATATACATAAAATACAATTTTTATATATGCACATTTTTACACACATAATAGCCTACTACACCCATGGTTCTGCATCTTGCATTTGTCCCTAACATACTATCTCTTTGTATTAGTTAGTTGCTGCTGCATAACAAATTATCCCAAAACATACTGACTTGAAATGACAAACATTTATCATCTCACAATTTCTGTGGATGGAGAATTTAGGAGCTACTTTGAAATTGGGTGGGTTCTGGCTCCAGGTCTCTCATGAGGTTGCAGCCAAGCTATCAGCTGGGGCTGTCTCATCTGAAGGCTCAACCGGAGCTGGAGGCTTTACTTCCAAACTTACTTACCTAGATGGCTGGTTGTTGGCAGGAAGTCTCAGCACCTCATTCCATGGCCTTCTCCACAGAATTGCTTGAGAGTCTTCACAGCATGGTTGCCAGTCCTCCCTAGAATGAATGAAGCAAAAGAAAGAGGGAAAAAGGCTGGGGTCAGTGGCTCATGTCTGTAATCCTAGGGCTTTGGGACATTGAGGCAGGAGGATCACTGAGCCCAGGAGTTCAAGACCAGCCTGGGCAACATAGGCCCCAGTCTCAATAAAAAATTTAAAAATTAGCCAGGTGTGGTGGCACATGCCTGTAGACCCAGCTATCAGGAGGCTGAGGTGGGAGGATCACTTGAGCCTGGGAGGTTGAGGCTGCAGTGACCTGTGATTGCACCATTGCACTCCAGCCTGGGCAACAGAGTGAGATCGTGTCTTAAAGAAAAAAAAGAGAGAGAACCATGTGCTTGGGCTGGGTTTCTTCTTGGTGGCCCCATCCTCATACTATGTCGCTGTGGCTAGTTCATCTCTCCTGAAAGATAGTCTCCTTTAGCCATATTCTTAGTTCCGTGGAGTTGAAGGTCCCCCTCCTCCTCTAAATCTTGGAGACCTGACCGAGCATGGTGGCTCATGCCTGTAATCCCAGCACTTTGGGAGGCCAAGGTCGGCCGACCAAGGTCAAGAGGTCAAGAGTTTGAGACCAGCCTAGCCCACATGGTGAAACTCCATCTATATTAAAAATACAAAAATTAGCCAGGTGTGGTGGTGCATACCTGTAATCTCAGCTACTCAGGAGGCTGAGGCAGGAGGATTGCTTGAACCCAGGAGGCAGAGGTTGCAGTGAGCCAAGATTGTGCCGTTGCACTCCAGTCTGGGTGAAACTCCGTCTCATAAAACAAACAAACAAAAACAAAACTTGGAGACCAAAGTAAAAACAAAACCAAAAAGAAAAACAAACAAAACTACTTGCAGTCCCAAGTAGAAATTAATCAGTGTAATTATTATTAATAGGCATTAATAAAAACACACTCTGTCCACAATAAAGCCAGCCTTTTGGTCACTGAAACGCTTGCTGTCTCATCCTGAGGTACCAGCAGGCTAATGTCTTCCAAATAGTTCCTTTTCCCCAAAGAACAGCAGATCATTGCCAGCCGTGATCCTGTATGACTAAAAGAGCCGACAATGTTGGTTGGCAGTACCCAGAACAAAGAGGGAGTTTTCCCCTAAGGATGCTTACTTTTGTTTCTGAGTTTCCTGGTTTATTCTCAGCCACATTCAGGACAAGTCTGTACCTTTACATGTGCAACTTTTTTTTTTTGAGACAGAGTCTCACTCTGTTACCCAGGCTGGAGTGCAGTGGTGTGATCTTGGCTCACTGCAGCCTCCGCCTCCAGGTTCAAGCAATTCTCCTACCTCAGCTTCCCAAGTAGTTGGGACTACAGATGCATACCGCCACGCCTGGCTAATTTTTTGTATTTTTAATAGGACGGGGTTTCACCATGTGGGCCAGGCTGGTCTCGAACTCCTGACCTAAGAGATCCACCCGCCTCGGCCTCCCAAAGTGCTGGGATTACAGGCATGAGCCACCATGCCCGGCCCTACAAAAATAATTTTTAAAAAATTAGACTCCGTGGAGCAGGCCCATAGTCCCAGCTACTTAGGAGGCTGAGGTGGGAGGATTGCTGGAGGCTGGGAAGTCGAAGCTGCAGTGAGCTATGATCACCCACTGCACTCCAGTCTGCGCAAAAGAGCAAGACCCTGTTTCTTTTCCTTTTTTTTGTCGCCCAGGCTAGAGTGTAATGGCGCAGTCTGGGCTCACTGCAACCTCTGCCTCCAGGGTTCAAGCAATTCTCCTGCCTCAGCCTCCCAAGTCGCTGGAATTACAGGCATGTGCCACCATGCCCGGCTAATTTTCTGTATTTTTAGTAGAGATGGGGTTTTCACCATGTAGGTCAGGCTGGTCTCGAACTCCCGACCTCAGGTGATCCACCCGCCTTGGCCTCCCAAAGGGCTGGGATTACAGGCGTGAGCTACCATGCCTGACCTACATATGCAACTTATCACCACTATCTGATACCATTCCTTGAATACTTTCATTAAAAATAAAAACAGGGCCAGGCACAGTGGCTCACGCCTGTAATCCCAGCACTTTGGGAGGACGAGGCAGGCAGATCACGAGTTCAGGAGATCAAGACCATCCTGGCTAACACGGTGAAACCCCATCTCTACAAAAAAAAAAAAAAGTAGCTGGGCGTGGTTGCGGGAGCCTGTAGTTCCAGCTACTTGAGAGGCTGAGGCAGGAGGATAGTGTGAACCCGGGAGGCGGAGCTTGCAGTGAGTCGAGATTGCACCACTGCACTCCAGCCTGGGCGACAGTGCAAGACTCGGTCTCAAAAAAACCCCAAAAAACAAACAAACAAAAAACAATATTACACCTCAGATTTTAGGCTCAATGCTGTCTCCCACTCCGTGTGGCTACTTTTGTTTTGTTTTGAAACAAGGTCTCACTCTGTTGCCCAGGATGGAGTACAGTGGTATAGTCATAGCTCACTGCAGCCTCGAACTCTAGGGCTCAAGTGATCCTCCTGCCTCAGTTACCCAAGTAGCCGGGATGACAAGGGTGAACCACCATGCCTGGCAAACTTTTCTACTCTTTTGTAAAGACAGGGGTCTCACTGTGTTGCCCAGGCTGGTCTCGAACTTCTGACCTCAAGCAATTCTCTCACCTCAGCCTCCCAAAGTGCTGGGATTACAGGTGTGAGCCACCACGCCCGGCTCCATGTGACTACATTTGACTCTAACGTCACATATCCTAATGATGTAACATCTCCGTGTTTATGCTTTGTTTTTCTGTTTTTTTCCTTACCAGCTGGGCTTGGAGCGTTTCCACGGAGTTGGCATACTGGGGTTCAACTCTGCGGAGTGGTTTATCACTGCTGTTGGCGCCATCCTAGCCGGGTAAGGTCCCTTGGCTTGGTTCACAGTGAGGATTAAGGAGCCGCTACCCTGGGCCTGGGACCCCTGGGCTTGTTCGGTGTGAGATGCAAACAGGAATTTTGGATGAATGCCCTGGTTAGCAGGCAGGATAGATGCACAAACAAATTATTCTGATCACAGGTCATACGCAATAACACCCATTAGACCAGTGGTCTCAGACCTCTTGGTTTTCTTCAGCTGCAGAACTTTTTGCAGACAAAATAATAATCACAGCATTTAGAGGCTTCTGATTATGTGCACAAGCACTGTGCTCCGTGTGTACGATCCTGGAAGACCTCACGACAGCAATGTGAAGTGGGTCCTATCATCCCCTATCTACAGATGAGGGAACTGAGGCTCACACAGCCAGTGGGCAGTAGAGTCAGCACTCTGCTCTAAAAATAAAAATTAAAAAAAATTTTAAAAACCCACAAAATGGCCAGGCATGGTGGCTCATGCCTGTAATCCCAGCACTTTGGTAGGCCAAGGTGGGCAGATCACCTGAGGTCAGGAGTTGGAGACCAGCCTGGCCAACATGGTGAAATCCCATCTCTACTAAAAAAATATATAAAAATTAGCTGGGTGTGGTGGTGGGTGCCTGCAATCCCTGCTACTTGGGAGGCTGAGGCAGGAGAATTGCTTTAACCCGGGAGGTGGAGGTTGCAATGAGCCAAGATCATGCCACTGCACTCCTGCCTGGGTGACAGAGCAAGACTCTGTCTCAAACAAACAAACAAACAGCTCCTAAACACACACGAAGCCGGGCGTGGTGGCTCAAGCCTGTAATCCCAGCACTTTGGGAGGCCGAGACGGGCAGATCAGGAGGTCAGGAGATTGAGACCATCCTGGCTAACACGGTGAAACCCCGTCTCTACTAAAAAATACAAAAAACTAGCCGGGCGTGGTGGTGGGCGCCTGTAGTCCCAGCTACTCGGGAGGCTGAGGCAGGAGAATGGCGTAAACCTGGGAGGCGGAGCTTGCAGTGAGCTGAGATCCGGCCACTGCACTCCAGCCTGGGCGGCAGAGCGAGACTCCGTCTCAGAAAAAAAAAACACACACACACACACACATGCACACACACAAATAAAAGAGGGAATTCCTCTAGTTATATTACCTGGGAGTTAGGGAGGGTCTGGGATATCCTGACGTTAACTTCCCATGACACTGACTGTGTTTTGTTCACCTCAGGGGTCTGGTTTACCCGGTTACTCAGTATTTAAATAAATGATGAGAACCCAGTCCCGATGCCACCATACCAGTGGGGTTTTTCTGTTTGTCTGCTTTGGGGTTTTTGTGAGACAGAGTCTCGCTCTGTCACCCAGGCTGGAATGCAGTGGTGTAATCATAGCTCACTGCAGCCTTGAAGACCTAGGCTCATGCGATCCTCCCGCCTCGGCCTCCAGAGTAACTGGGACTATGAGCACACACTACCACATCCGGCTAATTTCTTTTTTTTTGTAGAGATGGTTTCTTGCTATGTTGCCCAGGCTCTAATCACGAAAAAAAAAAAGTAAAAATAAAATATTGATTTCTTTTTGAGCTGGTAATTCTACCTTTGGGAGTGTCACTTAAAGAAACAAAACCAAAACATGAGAATATATTTTAGCTTATACACAAAGATGCTTCTTGGAAGTGCTATTAGTGATGGCAAAAAGTCAGGGACAACCTACGTGTCCCACAGCTGGGGATTAAACCATGAGATGCCTTCTGGATGGGATTCCGGGTAATATTTTGAAATGATGGCTCTGAAGACCACATTTTAAACATTTTTGATGTCAGAGGTGACAAAGCAGGTATCAAAATCTTTATACACTGTATGGTTACAACTATGCTTAACATTTAAAATACCAGGCCAGGCGCGGTGGCTCACACCTGCAACCCTAGCACTGTGGGAGACGGAGGTGGGTGGATCACAAGGTCAGGAGATGGAGACCATCCTGGCTAACACAGTGAAACCCCATCTCTACTAGAAATACCAAAAAATTAGTCAGGCGTGGTGGCGGACACCTGTAGTCCCAGCTACTTAGGAGGCTGAGGCAGGAGAATGACGTGAACCCAGGAGGCAGAGATTGCAGTGAGCCGAGATCGCACCACTGTACTCCAGCCTGGCCGACAGAGCGAGACTCCGTCTCAAAAAAAAAAAAAAAAAAAATTAAAATACCAATTATTAATATAGCAATTATTGCTGGTCACTCTTACCCATATGATATCATTGACTGTTCATGGTAGCCCTTTGAGGTAGGTGCCAACATGATCCCAAGTAATAATGATGGTGTCGATAATCTGGGACCCATCGAGGTTAAGTGGCTTCCCCAGAATCACGCTGTGGTTGGATAAAGATCCTGAGACCTGAACTCATTTGTTTGAGTCAAAATTAATAATAACAACAGCAACAACAACAGTAGCAGCAGTCACAGCTATGAAAAAATTGAGAGGCTGGGCACAGTGACTCATGCCTGTAATCCCAGCACTTTGGGAGGCTGAGGTGGGAGGATTGCCTTAGCCCAAGAGCTCAAGACCAGCCTAGGCAACATAGCAAGATTCTGCCTCTAAAAAAAAAAAAAAAAAGAAAAAGATGCTTTTAAAATTAGCCAGGCATGGTGGTGTGTGCCTGTAGACCCAACTACTTGGGAGGCAGAGGTGGGAGGATGGCTTGAGCCCAGGAAGTTGAGACTGCAGTGAATTATGATCACACCACTGCACTCCAGCCTGGGCAACAGAGTGAGACCCTGTCTGTAAAAAAAAAAAAGAAAAGAAAAGAAAAGAAAAAGAGAAGGAAGGAAGGAAGGAAGGAAGGAAGGAAAAGAAATTGAGGGTAGTGACTAGAAATAAATATTAACATTAGTTATATCTCATCATCGAGACTAAGAACATCCTAATATGTTATATTCTATTTTTCAAATTTTTATGAGCATATACTACCCCATCTTACAGGGAGTTGAAATATATATAATATATAATATATATAATATATATTCTTTCTTCCTTCCTTCCTAATAGTAATATTATATATAGTATAGATAATATTATATATATATAATATATATATTTTGCTTCACAGGGCTGTTATGAAGATTCAATAAGAGATTCAATAAGATTCAATAAGAAGATTCAATAACCCTTAGCACAGTGCTTAGCAAATAGTATGTGCTTAAGAACGATGATGAGAGTAACCATCTCAAATAATTATAATGTGCCTCATTCCCTGACATTAAAAGCACAACAACTAGATCAACAGAGCAGACAGCAAGAAATAGCTCCATGCATACATGGTCACTGGCTTCCAACAAAGCCAGCAGAGTAATCCAGTGGTGCTGGACCAACTGGATATTTGTATGGAAAAATAAATCAGCCCTGATCCCTACCTCACATCGTATGCAAAAATTAAATTGAGATGGATTACAGACCAAATCATGCAAGTCAAATTCTAAAGCTTCTGGAAAAAGGAAAGCATGGAATGGTTTCACAACCTGGCGGTAGCGAAAGATTTCTTAGACAGGACACAGAGAGCAAAAAGCATAAGAGAAAAAGTTGCCAAATAGGACTTTTTATTAGCATTAAAAAGTCTTCTTATTAAAAGACACCAATAAGATGAACAGTTGCTGAGCATGGTGGCTCACGCCTGGAAGCCCAGCACTTTGGGAGGCAGGGGCGGGTGGATCACTGGAAGCCAGGAGTTTGAGACCAGCCTGGGTAACATGGCAAAACCCCTTCTCTACAAAAAATACAAAAATTAGCCAGGTGTGGTAGTGCATGCCTGTAATCCCAGCTACTCAGGAGGCTGAGGCAGGAGAATTGCTTGAATCCAGGAGGTTGAGGTTGCAGTGAACTGAGACTGCACTACTGCATGCCAGCCTGGGTGACAGAACTAGACCCCATCTTAAAAAAAAAAAAAAAGATGAACAGCCAAACTGCATACTTGGGAGAAAATATTCTTAAAACTCAAATTTCTGACAATGGACTGGTATCTAAGATATATAAAGGAATTCTGTAACTCAGTAATAAAAAGGTAAAAAAAAAAAAATAATTGAAAGGGGCAAAAGATTTCAACAGAAATGCCACAAAGGAAAGTAGCCAAAAGGCACGTGTAAAGATGCTCAATGTCATTATCCATTGAGAAATGCAAATTAAAAGCAAAAGAGGATGCCACCTGCAAGCACAAAAGGTCGTGAATGATGGGAACAGGAGCTGAGTGAGGAGTTCAAGTCCTAGGTCTAACACCTACTTGCTATGTAATCTTGAGTAACTTCACTGCCAGGTCCTTGTTTTTCTCATCTGTAAAATGGGGTGTTCTGAGTGTTCCACGACCTGTTGTCATAGTGACATCATAGGAGCTGTCACTCTTATCATCATTGTCATTTTTGTTGTCTTCATCGTTAAGTTGGGGAGGGAGGGAAGCTGGTGCTGTGGCTGCAAACTTAAGAACTTGCCTGCAAACCTTTCCTCTCTCTTGACCTTTCAGACCATTCTGCCTTTAAGGTGTGTTTGGATGCACACACGAATGTGTTTTCTTTTCCCAGGGGTCTCTGTGTTGGTATTTATGCCACCAACTCTGCCGAGGCTTGTCAGTATGTCATCACTCATGCCAAAGTGAACATCTTGCTGGTTGAGAATGATCAACAGTTACAGAAAATCCTTTCGGTAACCCCCTACCCAGCAAACCCCTATACACTGCCTGCCAAAGTCACCCAGGGAGACCTCAGGGCTCTGGGGAAGTGTTCTTTTTCTCCCAGGTAAATTCTAATGAGGGCCATTAGAATAAGGCCATACATCGGTTCAGCAAGAGTCCTCCGTGATCTCATTAGTATACGTGGTGAAGCTGATGTTTGGAGAAGCAGAGTGAAGTGGAGGAGTTTGATTTCCAATTCATATTAACTTAGTTTAATATTCAGCCTCCATTTCTTTTCTTTTTTTTTTTTTTTTTTTTTTTTTTTTTTTCCCGAGACAGGGTCTCACTCTGTCCCCAGGCTGGAGTGCAATGTCGTGATTGTAACTTACTGTAGCCTTGAACTCCTGGTCTCAACTGATCCTTCTGCCTCAGTCCTCCAAGTAGCTGGGACTACAAGCATGTACCACCATGTCGGGCTAACTTTTTTTTTTCTGAGACGGAGTCTCGCTCTCTCGCCCAGGCTGGAGAGCAGTGGCGTGATCTCAGCTCACTGCAAGCTCCGCCTCCTGGGTTCACACCATTCTCCTGCCTCAGCCTCCCGAGTAGCTGGGACTACAGGCGCCCGCCATCACGCCTGGCTAATTTTTTTGTATGTTTTAGTAGAGATGGGGTTTCACCATGTTAGGCAGGATGGTCTCAATCTTCTGACCTCGTGATCTGCCTGCCTTGGTCTCCAAGTGCTGGGATTATAGGTGTGAGCCACTGCGCCAGGTCTGGGCTAATTTTTAAAACATTTTTTGGGCCAGGTGTGGTAGTTCACACCTGTAATCCAGGCACTTTGGGAGGCCAAGGCAGGCAGATCACCTGAGGTCAGAAGTGTGAGAACAGCATGGCCAACATAGTGAAAATCCATCTCTACCAAAAAATACGAAAATTAGTTGGGCGTGGTGGTATGCACCTGTAGTCCTAGATACTGGGGAGGCTGGGGTGGGAGGATCGCTTGAACCTGGGAGGTGGAGATTGCAGTGAGTCAAGATTGAGCCACTGTACTCCAGCCTGGGCAACAGAGTGAGATCCTGTCTCGAAACAAACAAACAAACAAAAACCTTTTTTTTTTTTTTTGTAGAGACAGGGTCTTGCTATATTGCCCAGGCTGCTCTTGAACTTCTGGCCTCAATTGATCCTTCTGCCTCAGCCTCCCAAAGTGCTGGGATTATAGGAATAAGCCCCCATGCCTGGCCTTAAGCCCCCACGTAAAAATACTTATCTATTATTTTATATACATCCCACTGCTAATTATTTTTTCTTTTGGAAGTGTGATGATTTCAAGCCTGTGCTTCTATATAATTTTCTTCATTTCTTGTCATTGTCTTCATTTCTAGATGCTTTTGTTGTTCTCTTCTATTTCTTGCCTAAGTTCTATCGCTTCCTGTTTCACTTTTTTCTAGTGTCCTGCTGTCTCTTCCCTGAGTGCTTGTATGTTTGCTTTGTGTTCTTTCTTTCTAGCTGTGTTTGCTTCATTACATTGTTAGTTTTATGTTGGAATGTTTGGTTACAATTTTCTTTTGCATTGTGTTGAAATTATCCAGTGAGTTTTCTTTGTTTACATTGAAATTTGGCTTCTGTTTTTTTTTTTTTTTTTTTTTTCATTGTAGTGTCTTTGTATGGCTATTGTGGAAACTTTAAATTTCCTACATGTTTGAATGAGTTGCAGTTTGCTGATTCAGCTTTTGGCAGGAGGGTCCTGGAGAGGAGAGGAGTCCTTGGGAGGGGTGAGCCTAGATGGCTAGGTTCATCATTCAGCTCAAGGACCACTGTGACTGTTTCTTGAATACATGATTTCATGACTCTGAGTCACTCATTTCTTCACTTTTTAACATCTCTGGAATCGAGATGTGTCTTTTCATTGATGGCATTCTCTGATCACTACTAACCATATGTTTTCTCACATTTTACTATCTCCAAAATTTGGGTACAGTTTCCAGATTCAGTGAAAACCTAGCTAGACTCAGCAAAATACAACACTTTCTGCTGCCTGGCTTCCTTTGACTCCTAATTCCTGACTTGGTTCAGTAAGGACAGACCTCTACCTCTGGCCTGGAGCTTTTAAAAATTCTTTTCTTTTTTCTTCTTCGTCTTCTTTTTTTTTTTGAGACAGTCTCACTGTGTCATCCAGGCTGGAGAGCAGTGGTATCATCTTAGTTTGGCTCACTGCAACCTCTACCTCCCAGGTTGAAGCGACTCTCGTGCTTCAGCCTCCCAAGTAGCTGGAACTACAGGTGCACACCACCACACCTGGCTAATTTTTGCATTTTTTTTTTGAGATGGGATTTTGCCATGTTAGCCAGGCTGCTCTTGAACTCCTGGCCTCAAGTGATCCAATGGTCTTGGCCTCCCAAAGTGCTGGGATTACAGGCATGAACCACTGCTCATAAAATTACTTTCTTAAGTGATGCATCTGTGGTTCCCAAAATTCATGTCATACCTGTTTGTCCTCTTCTTAGCAGAACACACTATGGGGTGGGTGTTAGTGGGTGGGTGGGATCCTTCTTCCATCTGGAAATGCTGGCTTAATTTGAGTTTTCCATAACTGGAAAATGCCACATACACAACCTTCCCCTCTACACCCACCTGGCTGCTATGGATTTCTGTCCTGATTCTAGGAGGTCCAGCCTTAAGTGAATAAAGAAATATCTGAATTATTTCTGACTCCTAGTTTCATTGAAGGTGAAGTCTGTGGAGGATTTATTGTTCCAGTTGCTATGTCTAGAAGATTCAAAACCAGGTTCCTGACATGCTCCTTCCAAATTGGATGCCCAGCTCCACTTGGAGATCTTTGATCTGGGGAAGTAATCACAGATCCTCCTCTGCTTAAACCCTCTAATTCTCTTGCGGTTTTCTGTGGGAGTTAAATAAACTCCAAACTCCTCATCTTTGCCTCCAAGGCTCCGCTGATCTGGGCCTCACCATTCTTTCATGCCCCCTCCCCTGTCATACTGTCTTGGGTCCCCACTCTGGCCATCCTGGACTTTTTTTATCCCTCAGACATCCCAAGCTGTCGCCTGCCCCAGGCTCCTTGAATGTCTGTTTCTTCTTCTCTCTGGAAAACTTGTCCAGCTGCTATACGGGCTTCTGCCATCTCCTCTCTCCAATGCCTGCCAGAGGCATGGCTATAATTAGCAAAATGGATGTTGCAAGTAACTTTTTCATTGGATTGGCTAGAACTGTCATAGAGAGACCCCTCCCCCTTTCTTTGGCATGAACAGAGTATAAGAATCTTGCAGGTTGCCTGATCCTTACCGTGCTAGGTATGGGTAGAGGGCTCTGCACTTGTCCAGGTTCCAGCCAACTTCACGGAGGATTTTTGTTGCCTGACTCCAACTAAAAGGTTAGCTAAATCTGGGCTGCAAGGTGCAAAGTCCTGGAAAAGGGAGAGCGGGAGGGACTTCCTTTAGCTTATCAACCAACATCCACGTTTCTGTGTAGCATAATTCGGTCAGAGATGTGTTGTCTCAGGCAGATTGCTGTCATCCTCTACCTACACTGTTGGAAGCTAGTAATATGGACTACACAGAATCCAGGAGTCCTGAAACCAGGTCATTTGGGGTCAGTCAAGACCAAGAGCAGCGTTTTATAGTGTGGGCGGGGGAAGAAAAGAGGCCGGGCACAGTGGCTCACACCTGCAATCCCAGCACTTTGGGAGGCTGAGGCGGGTGGATCACCTGAGGTCAGGTGTTCAAGACCAGCCTGGCCAAAATGGTGAAACCCCGACTCTACTAAAAATACAAAAATTAGCTTGGTATGGTGGCGCATGCCTGTAATCCCAGTTACTCGGGATGCTAAGGTGGGAGAATGGCTTGAATCCAGGAGGTGGAGGTTGCAGTAAGCCACAATTGCGCCAATGCACTCCAGCCTGGGCGAAAGAGCAAGACTGTGTCTCAAAAAAAAAAAAAAAAAAAAAAAAAAAATGGCTGGAGTTGCTGGAGAGAGCTTAGGACATCCAACCCAGCTTTAGTCTTTCCCAGGGCTGGGTTGTCATGAAGCCCACAGAGAACTTTCTTTCAGATTCCACAGAGCAGCCTGGAGCCCCTAAAAGCCATCATCCAGTACAGACTGCCAATGAAGGAGAACAACAACTTGTACTCTGTAAGTGTGGGAGGTGGGCAGTGGGGAAAGGGGAGGGCAGGGCCTTGTAAGAAAAGTGGGCGTGGCCTAAGGAAGCAGAAGGTGAGCAGAGGGAGGAGGTGGGACCTGGCAAGGGTGGGAACTCTCAAAGGAAGTAGGTGGGGACTCTCAAAGGAAGTGAATGGTGAGGAAAGGAAGTGGGTGGGGCCTTGTGAGGAAAGTGGGTGTGACCTTTCAAAGGACGTGAAAGGTGAGCAGAGGGAGGGGGTGTGACCTTACAAGGGAAGTGGGTGTGTCCTTTCAAAGAAAGTGGGAGGTAAGCAGAGATGCAATGGGGCCTCACAAATGTGGTAGGTGGGGTTTTGCAAAGGGCTGTGGGTGGGGCTTCATAAATGTAGTGGGTGGGGCTTTGCAAAGGGAAGTGGGTGGGGCTTCCCAAATGTAGTAAGTGGGGCTTTGCAAAGGGAAGTGGGTGTGGCCTTTGCAAAGGGGAATGGGAGGTGAGCAATGCGTGGGGGCCTCGTAAAAGGAGGTAGGTGGGACCTTTCGGACACATTTTTCCCTTCTGGCATGAAGGGACTGATTAATGAACAGTGTCTGTTCCAACTAATTACTGCTGGGCTGAACAAATCACCGCCAAAACTGGTGGCTAAAAAAAAAATCAGTCATTTTGTTATTTTTTTCCCAAGAACATTAAGATAATTAAACAATATACTAAAAAGTTAAAAATTACGTGTTAAAACTAACGTTAAGTTTAAATATTTTATTTATACCCAAGCCAAAATTTATTATAACTTTATTTTCCTGGCTTTAACAGATGCAAAATCATTGATAATATTTTTACTAAAACCATCAACCATTTAAAAATATGCAAATATTTTTACTAAAACCATCGACCATTTAAAAATATGCATATAGGGATGTAAATTTTTCCTTTTGCCGCAAGCTCCAGTATGGCTAGGACCCAACAGCTCTGTCGCAGCCTGTCTTTATGTAAAATTTTGATATTTATTCATCACGGATGTTTTTTGCTTTAATAGTTACTTTTAAAATACTGTTCATTAAAATATTATGTATCTTAAGCTGGGCATGATGGCACATGCTTGTAATCCCAGCTACTCAGGAGGCTGAGGTGGGAGGATCACTTGAGCCCAGGAGTTCGAGATCAATCTGGGCAACACAGCAAGACCCCATCTCAAAAAATAATAAAAAAATAAGCAAATTTGCTAAACTAAAACATCATTGATCCTGATTACCAAGGGTTTTTTTTGCGTCCCCTTGGGTATTGTGCTGTAAGCAAGGACTCTGGTCTTCATCTTAGTCCCAGCCCTGTAGCTGGGGTGCAGCCAGCATCTTTCTCCATCTCTTCATGGTTTTTGCATATGGCCTCTCTAGCATGGTTGCTTCATTATTAGTGATTGCCGGGGCCAGGCACGGTGGCTCATGTCTGTAATCCCAGCATTTTGGGAGGCCGAGGCCAGCTGATCATGAGGTCAGGAGTTTGAGACCAGCCTGGCAAACATGGTGAAACTCTGACTTGACTAAAAATACAAAAATTGCCAGGCGTGTTGGCGCACACCTGTAATCCCAGCTACTCAGGAGGCTGAGGCAGAAGAATCGCTTGAACCCGGGAGGTGGAGGATGCAGTGAGCCGAGATCACGCCACTGCACTTCAGCCTGGGTGACAAAACAAGACTCCATCCCCAAAAAAAAAAAAAAAAAAAAAAGCAAACTAAAAACAATAATAAAAGTATTCTTTGGCTTAAGTGGATCTCTGTTGCTTGCAAGCAAACATTTTCTGGCTCCAAAAGATGCTGCAGCAGAATGTATTTTCCAAAAATGATTGTGACAACATGTATAATGTCACACATTCTTTAGAGACTTCGCCTCTCCCTTAGTAAGCCGTGGTGTCTATGTCCCCATCCCTTGATCCCTGGCAGATCTTTGGCTTGGCCTTGATGGGCAAATGATGACGGAAGCAATGTTATGTGACTTCCAAGACTAGGTCATTAAATGTGAGACAGCTTCCACCTGGCCCACGTGCTCTCTCTCAAGATACTCTCTATAAAGATCTCAGCCACCAAGTAAGTCCAGAACCCGCCTCCCGGGTTCACGCCATTCTCCTGCCTCAGCCTCCAAGTAGCTGGGACTACAGGTGCCCACCACCATGCCTGGCTAATTTTTTGTATTTTTAGTAGAGACGGGTTTTCACCATGTTAGCCAGGATGGTCTCGATCTCCTGACCTTGTGATCTGCCCGCCTCAGCCTCCCAAAGTGCTGGAATTACAGGCGTGAGCCACCGCGCCTGGCCTGCTTTTTTTTAGAGACAGAGTCTCACTCTGTCACCGAGGCTGGAGTGCAGTGGCGCAATCTCGGCTCATGGCAACCTCCACCTCCTGGGTTCAAGTGATTCCCCTGCCTCAGCCTCCTGAGTAGCTGGGATTACAGGCACCCACCACCATGTCTGGCTAATTTTTGTATTTTTTTTTTTAGTGGAGACAGGGTTTCTCCATGTTGGCCAGGCTGGTCTTGAACTCCTGACCTCAAGTGATCCACCTTCCAAAGTGCTGGGATTACAGGTGTGAGCCACTGCTGTTGTTTTATTTTAAAGGACATATTGAGTTATTTTACAGAAACCAGGGCAAGAGGCTTGTGAGAGACCATGAAAAATTCCTTCTAATTTCCATGAGATTAGGCTCTCAAACCCATTGCTCCAATCAGAAGGAACCGAAAGTCATGGAGTTTATTTTGGTTTGCCCTCCATGCAAGTGGGAGAAATGAACCTTTCTGGCCAGCCGAAACTCATCAGCTTTCATGCTTTTCAGAAAACATAAATGTCCATATTAATACCAGAACAATGACTAAGACAACCAATTAGAATTACAGACTTTTCAGGAGATCAAGACCATCCTGGTTAACATGGTGAAACCCCGTCTCTACTAAAAATACAAAAATTACCTGGGCGTGGTAGCACATGCCTGTAGTCCCAGCTACTCAGGACGTTGAGACAGGAGAATCGCTTGAACCCAGGAGGCGGAGGTTGCAGTGAGCGGAGATTGCGCCACTGCACTCCAGCCTGGCGAGAGTGAGACTCTGTCTCAAAAAAAAAAAAAAAAAGAAAATTACAAACTTTTTAGAGTTTCAAAGTGACCACTACAGCAACAGCCTTAAGTCTTGGACAACTAAAAGACTCCTTTGTTAGCAATAACACTTATAGCAGGGTTTCTCAACCTCCTTGCTGTTGACATTTGGGGCAGGTAATTCTGTGTTGTAAGGAGTTGTCCTATGCCCTGTAGGATGTTGAGCTGCATCGCTGGCCTCCACTCACTGGATGCCAGGAATATATCCCCTGCCTCCCACTTGAAACAACCAAAAGTGTCTCCAGACACTGCCTAATAGTCCCTGGTGGTGGGTGGGTGGGTGGTGGTGGAGGACTATCACCCCTGGTTGAAGCTGCTAATTTATAGGGGATAGCAACATAGAAGGCATCTACTTCTCTGCAAGGGAGAGTAGAACCTACTGTTTTAAGATTCTGTTTAGGCTGGGCGCAGTAGCTCATGCCTGTAATTGGGAGGCTGAAGTGGACAAATAACCTGAGGTCAAGAGTTCAAGACCAGCCTGGCCAACATGGAGAAACCCTGTCTCTACTAAAAATACAAATACTAATAATAATGGCCCGAGCACAGTCGCTCACGCCTGTAATCCCAGCACTTTGGGAGAATAAGGCGGGCAGATCATGAGGTCAGGAGATTAAGACCATCCTGGCCAACATGGTGAAAACCCATCTCTACTAAAGATACAAAAATTAGCCAGCCATAGTGGTGCACGCCTGTAGTCCCAGCTGCTCAGGAGGCTGAGGCAGGGGAATCGCTTGAACCCGAGAGGCGGAGGTTGCCGTGAGCTGAGATCACGCCACAGCACTCCAGCCTGGCAACAGAGTGAGACTCCATCTCAAAAAAAAAAAAAAAAAAAAAAAAGGCTGGGTGCAGTGGCTCATGCCTGTAATCCTGTAATCCCAGCACTTTGGGATGCCAAGGTGGGTGGATAACCTGAGGTCAGGTGTTTGAGATCATCCTGACCAGTATTAGCAGACCAACCTCTACTAAAAATACAAAAAGTAGCTGGGTGTCATGGCACGCACCTGTAGTCTCAGCTACTCAGGAGGCTGAGAGAGGAGAATCACGGGATCCCAAGAGGCAGAGGTTGCAGTAAGTTGAGACCACGCCACTGCACTCCAGCCTGGGCGACAGAGCAAGACTCTGTCTAAAAATAAACAAATAAATAAAATAAAATACAAAAAAAAAAAAAAATAGCCAGGCGTGGTGGTGCATGCCTGTCCAAGCTGCTTGGGAGGCTGAGGCAAGAGGATCACTTGAACCTGGGAGGTGGGGAAGAGGACTCCTGACTGCCTTCTCATCCTCCGTTTGTCTTTTCTGTCCACAGTGGGATGATTTCATGGAACTTGGCGGAAGCATTGCTGACACCCAACTGGAGCAGGTCATCGCCAGCCAGAAGGCGAATCAATGTGCAGTGCTCATCTACACTTCTGGGACCACAGGCATGCCCAAGGGAGTGATGCTCAGTCATGACAACGTACGCCAAAGTCCCTTTGCTCTGGAGTGGTGGCCTTTGGGCTGCTTCTCCTGTTGGCTTCCAGGGGCAGGATGGCATTCCAGGGTCTAGCAGGCAGTGGCTCCTTCACCACTGGGGGTTAGAGAGTAGTGTAGTTGCTTCACTAGGGGGCAGCAGAGTGCAGTGATTCAGACCAAGGAATGCTGGCCATGTCAAAAGCAGAAAAATGTCTGGCAGGGTATGCATCCAACAGACAAGGATGATTCCTCTGTGTACGTCAGGAAGGGGGGGTGTGTGTGTGTGTGTGTGTGTGTGTGTTTGAGATTGAGTCTTGCTCTGTCACCCAGGTTGCAGTGTAGTTGCGCAATCTCAGCTCATGGCAACCTCCGCCTCCGTTCAAGTGATTTTCCTGCCTCAGCCTCCCAAGTAGCTGGGATTACAGGCACCCGCCACTATGCCCAGCTAATTTTTGAGTTTAGTAGAGACAGAGTTTCACCAAGTTGGCCAGGCTGGTCTTGAACTCCTGACCTCAGGTGATCCAACCTCAGGTGATCCACTGCCTTGGCCTCCCAAAGTGCTGGGATTACAGGCATGAGCCACCATGCCCAGCCTACTTTATTTTTCAGTTGTGTTTGTGTATGTGTGTGGTTTTTTTTGTTTTTATTTATTTATTCATTTATTTATTATTTTGAGACTGAGTCTGGCTCTGTTCCCCAGGCTGGAGTGCAGTGGCACTCCACTCACTGCAACCCCTGTCTCCTGGGTTCAAGCAATTCTTAGGCCTCAGCCTCCTGAATATCTGGGACTACAAGCCAGTGCCACCACACCCAACTAATTTTTTGTATTTTGGGTAGAGATGGAGTTTCATCATGTTGATCAGGCTGGTCTCAAACTCCTGACCTCAAGTCATCTGCCTGCCTCGGCCTCCCAAATAGTTGGGATTACAGATGTAAGCCACTGCACCTGGTCTATGTTTAAATTGTTTTTAGAGATGGGATCTTGCCATGTTGCCCAGGCTGGAGTGCAGTGACTACTCAGAGGCACAATCATCATGCACTTAAGCTTCAGACTCACAGGCTCAAGTGATCCTTCTGCCTCAGCCTCCCAAGTAGCTGGGTCTACAGGTGCATGCCACCACGCCTAGCCTGCTTTTTTTTTTTTAATCAAATTTGTCACTCTATGTGTTTTAAGTGCTGTATTTAGGATGTTTACGTTCAAGGTTAATATTGATATGTGAGGTTTTGTTCCTGTCATAGTGTTTTTAGCTAGATGTTTTGTAGTGTTGATTGTGTAGTTGCTTTATAGGGTCTGTGGGCTTTGTACTTACATGTACTTTTATGGTAGCAAGTATTGTTCTTTTGTTTTCATGTTTAGAACTCCGTTGAGCATTTCTTTTCAGGCTGATCTAGTGACGACAAATTCCTTTACATTTGCTTGTCTGAGAAATATTTATTTCCCATTTATGAAACTTAGTTTGGTGGGATATAAAATTATTGGCTGGTATTTATTTTTCTTTAAGAAGGCTAAAAATGGGCCCCTAATCTCTTCTGGCTTGTAAGGTTTCTTCTAAGAAATCCACTGTATGTCTGATGGAATTTCCTTTATATGTAATTTGGCCCTTTTCTCTAGCTGCCTTTAAGATTTTTTTTCATATTGACCTTGGTCTGATGACTATATGCCTTGGGGGTGGCCATATTGTATAGCATTTCACAGGAGTTCTCTGGATTTCTCATATCTAGATGTTGACCTCTCTAGCAAGATTAGGGAAATTTCCCTATGTTACTCCCTCAAATATGTTTTCTAAGTTGCTTACTTTTTCTTTTCTCTCAGGAATGCATTTAAGTCATAGGTTTGGTTGCTTTACATAATCTCATATTTCTCAAATACTTTGTTTTTCTTTACTTCTTTTTTCTTTACTTTTGTCTGACTGAGTTGTTTGAAAGATCATTCTTCAAGCTCTGGAATTCTTTCTTCTGCCTGGTCTAGTCTAGCTATATTTTTAAATTTCTGTAGTGAATTTTTCAATTCCAGAAGTTCAATTTGGTTTTTTCTTAATATATCTATGTTGTATTTCATATATTGAAGTGTTTTTTGAGTTTCCTTATATTGGATTCCAACTTTCTCTTGGATCTCATTAAGTTTCCTTGCAATGCATATTTTGAATTATTTATCTGTCATTTCAAACATTTCAATCTGGTGAGGACCCATTGCTAGAGAACTGGTGAGATTCTTTGGAGGTGTTGAAATGCTCTGGCTTTTTCTACTGCCAGAGTTCTTGCACTGATTCCTTCTTATCTGAGGGAGCTGTCACTTCTTATTTTTGAATCTTATATTGTTTGGATGCGGCTTTTGTATTTTTAAATTCTAGTTTCCCTTGAGGGTATGGCTGTGGCATATGTTGTGTATGATGGTATGGCATTGCCTCTGAGTGCTTTTGGAGGCCAAAGGTCTGTATGGATTCCATGGTTGTGGAGCTTTTGGAGGCCAAAGGTCCACAAAGGATTCCATGGTTGTGATAGCCTGTGCAGTGGCTAAGATCTGTATGGGTTCCGTGGTTGTGGAGCTGTGCTTCTGTGCAGTGGCTAAGGTCTGTATGGGTCTGTGGCTGTGGATAGCTTCTGCGCAGTGGCTAAGGTCTGTATGGGTTCCGTGGTTGAGGTTTCTGTGCAGGCTAAGGTCTGTATGGGATTCCATGGTTGTGGACAGCTTCTGTGCAGTGGGCTAAGGCTCAGGCGGGTTCCTGGTTGTGGACAGTTTCTGTGCAGTGCCAAGGCTCAGGTGGGTTCCGTGGTTGTGGACAGCTCTGTGCAGTGGCTAAGGTCTGCAAGGGTCTGTGGGTTGTGTGGACAGCCTCAGCAGTGGCTAAGGCTGTATGGGTCTGTGGTTAGGACAGTCTGCAGTGGCTAGTTGGGTCTTTGTATGGGTTCCGTGGTTGTGGACAGCTTGCAGTGGCGAAGGCTCCAGAAGATTCCATGGTTGCGGATAGTTTTTGTGTGGCTAAGGTCTGTATGGATTCCATGGTTGTGATTACTTGCAGTGGCTAAGGTCTGTATGGGTTCTAATAGACAGTTTCTGTGCAGTGGTCTGTATGGGTTCCAAAGGACAGCTTCTGTGCAGTGGCTAAGGTCTGTATGGGTTCCGTGGTTGTGGACAGCTTCTATGCAGTGGCTTTCTCAGATGCTGCTTGTTGTAATGATGTAATGGACGTAAGAGCCAACACTATCTCCTGCAGGACTGAGGGTGTGGAAGTCTCAGGAGGCTCATCTCATGCCCTGTCAACAAACCCTTCCAGTAGCAAGATTTTTGTTCGGTGGTGCAGTGCAGGCTGCAGTCCAGTAGATGGCACTTAAAAATTAGAACCAGCAGGTAGGCTGGTGCCAAGTAGGCATGCATACGCTGATGAGGAGGTAGCAGGAAGAGATCATGATGGGGTGCACTGAGGTCTCAGGGGTGGGGGCAGGGAGTACACTAGCTCCTTGTCCTGAGCCAGCAGGAATGCAGTCCGCTTCTCTATCACACCCCGTCATGGGGTTCACAATCTTTTGTTTATAAAGGCTTCATCCTTTGGTTCCTGGCAGCAGTGTGGGGTGGGAGGGCAGGTGGGAAATGACCCCTTCTCCATGTCTTTTCCCAGGCGCAGGTGCTGCCCACTCCAGTGGTTTGGGCCACACCCACATTTCCTTTGTCCCAAGGCGGGCTTTGGTGGGCTGAGTTCTCCTCCTCTTTTAGGGGCCACCCATGCCAAGGGTTAGATCTTCAGGGATCCTGCAGCCCCCTAGAGGTTCACTGGTCCCCTGTGCTTGCCAAAGTCACAGCAGGTTGTGGGGTATGTTTGTGGGGAACCTGGTGGTGCAGTGGGTCAAGGGCAGAGAACCCCCAGGCAGGGCAGTGGCACCATAGGTGCACAACCGGTATGGTGCCTGCTGTCTCAGTTCAGGTCTGAGGCGGGTGTGAGCATGCCTGTGTGAACTGACCACCTGGTTCTCTGTCCCTGAGAAGTTCTCTAACAAGCACCAATGGTGTTGGCCTGGGTTGCAAGGGCAGAGGAGCTCCCTGACCATTTAGTGACCAGGAGATTATCAAAGGGGAGTGGGGAGCAAAGAAGCACTCCCACCTATCCTTTCCATGGAGCTCTGAGTTCCTCAGGAGCTGATCTTTGCCAGGGCCCTTGCGGCTTTCCTTTTCTATGCTGCAGCTTCTTCCTGTGGGCACTCCAACAGGTCCTGCCTCTCTTTCCTCCATTTTCAGTTCAAAACGTATCCATTCACCAGTAACTTTGATCTTCTTCCTGAAAACTGACATCTGATGTCCCTTGTCGGCCGTCACGTATCAATCACACTGTTAGCAAGTGGCAGATTCTCATTCATATCCTTCTGATTCCAAACCACAAGGCCTTCCACAATAGGGAAGATGACACTTGTCAGCCACGCTGAGCCCAGGCCACAGGGCTCTGGGCAGGGTCATGCTGTCCGAGGGTGGCTTACAGGACCAACATGAGGACATCACTCTTGAACTTTTTTTTTTTTTTTGAGGCAGAGTCTGCTCTGTTGCCCAGGTTGGAGTGCAGTGGCACAATCTTGGCTCACTGCAACCTCTGTCTCCCAATTTCAAGGGATTCCCCTGCCTCAGTCTCCTGAGTAGCAGGGATTACAGGCATGTGCCAACACACCCAGCTAATTTTTATATTATTAGTAGAGACGGGGTTTCACCACATTGGCCAGGCTGGTCTCGAACTCCTGACCTCAGGTGATCCGCCTGCCTTGGCCTCCCAAAGTGCTGGGATTACAAGCGTGAGCCACCACGCCCGGTCATCACTCTTGAACATCTCAACATGGTGGCTGGCTCCCCCAACAGCAAGTGGTCCCAAAGATTTGTCAGTCCCAGAATTTCCACAGCGTCCCTTCTGCTCCTTTCTGTCAGTCAGAACAAATCACTGGACCAATTTTGTCCCAAAGGAAAGAGAAACAAGTTCCACCTCAGAATGGGAAGAGTAGCAGATAATTTGCAGCTCTGTTTAATCTACCACATAGACATAAAATGCTTAGAACAATGCCTGGCATATAGGAAGCCATGTCAAGGATAGCTATTGATATTGTATTTGGCTGGGTGCAGTGGCTTACGTATGTAATCCCAGCACTTTGGGAGGCCGAGACAGGAGGATTGCTTGAGGCCAGGATTGTTTGAGAGAAGCCTAGGAAACATAGCAAGACCCTATCCCTACAAAAAATGTTTTAAAAATTAGCTGGGCATGGTGGCACATGCCTGTACTCGGGAGGCTGAAGCAAGAAGATCCCTTGAGCCCAGGAGTTCGAGGCTGCAGTGAGCTATGATGCTGCCACTGCACTCCAGCCTGGGTGACAGAGTAAGGCCCTGTCTAATCATCATGTTTATAGCAAGAAGTTAAAGGTAGCCTTAGATTTTCTCCAGATGTCTGCAGCTCAGTGTTTCTAACATGCATGGAACACTATGTTCTGTGCTCAGATAAACACATTTTTTTTTTTTTTTGAGACGGAGTCTCGCTCTGTCACCCAGGCTGGAGTGCAGTGGCCGGATCTCAGCTCACTGCAAGCTCCACCTCCTGGGTTTACGCCATTCTCCTGCCTCAGCCTCCCGAGTAGCTGGGACTATAGGCACCCGCCACCTCGCCCGGCTAGTTTTTTTGTATTTTTTAGTAGAGACGGGGTTTCACCGTGTTAGCCACGATGGTCTCGATCTCCTGACCTCGTGATCCGCCCGCCTCAGCCTCCCAAAGTGCTGGGATTACAGGTTTGAGCCACCGCACCCGGCCAGATAAACACATTTTAACCCCTCAGTAAAACCCCACCAGGAAAATTTTGTCACTAACCCTTTTACCGATGAGAAAACTGAGGCTCAGACAGAGGAAATTACTTGGTCAAGATCACAGAGCAAGGGAAGCTCTGAACTGAGATCTGAACCAGGAGTGTCTAAACCATTGTACCTCACAGACTACATACACGAAGCCCCTTCTCTCAACAAAAGTGTGCTAGGTTCCTTGAACCCTGGACTATGCATGACAAGGTTTATGGGAGCCTTCATCCTGAGCCCAGGGAAAGAAGTGGAACTAGCCTTGAGGGATATTTTGGGCTGACTGCTGTATGTCCTTTATTGTAGTTAACCTTTCCTTCTATTTCCTCATTCATTTGACAAAAATTCATTGAGCATCTAGTATGTACTGGGGAATATTCCAGGAACAGGGGATACAGCAGTGAACAAGAGAGACTCAATCTGGACCTTGGGAACAGATAAGAAATTAACAAATGAAAACATTCAGCTTGCGTGACATGGTGCGTAGAGGCTTAGGCAGTCAACGGCACTTTCACCTTAGATGGTGTGGGATGGCCCTTCTAAGGAGGTGACATTTGAGCTGAGACTTAATGTTCAAGAAGTAGCCAGCCATGAGGGTGGGGGGTGGTGAGGGAAAAGGCTGAAGAAAGAGCATTCCAGGCAGAGGGAATAGCCAGTGCAAAGGCCCTGAGGCTGGACCATGCCTGAGACATTGGAGGAACAGCGAGGAGGTCCGGGTGGCTGGATTAATGAAGTAACTATTCACCAGATATTTATGACACTAGTGAGAACTATAGGTGACAAAATTATAGGGACACTAAAACTTTACATCCACATATGCATTGGAGAAAGAAAAATGCTAATAATGCTAATTGTTGGGGTGTTTATATGATGGGATTATGGAGAGCCTTTTTGTTTGTTTGACCATGTTGGTTCCATAGTTCTATATTGGACCTGAGAAGCCTCTGTCCCCACTTTAAAGATGAGGCAATAAAGGCCACAGGGGATTTTAAGTAAATAGCCCAAATGTCTAGCAAACAGTGGAGTCAGGGTTTGACTCTGGGACACTTGCTGAATCCTTTGGTTTTCTGAGTTCTGTCATTGGACCCAAGAGGGTCTGCAACCTCCCTACTCCTAAAGCTGCCTGCTAAATTTTGCAACCCCCCTAACTTCAGGAAAGTTAGTTAAGGGCTCTGTGCTTCTGTTTTCACATAATTCTCCCTGATTAAAAAAACCGTTAGACCTGGGGCTTCACCCAAAAATTCTGTTGAATGATTAACAGCCATCTACTCACCTGGGCTGCCCAAGAGGATGAAGTGGGGGATCCAGGTCCTTACTCGATCTTACCTTGAGAGCATCTGCTTGAGCAAAGTGAGCACCCCAATCTTCATGAGTACCCAGACGTCCATCATCTGTGCTGCAATGTGGCTGAGTGGGAGGCAGCTGACCACCGTCTCATGCTTTTCTGTCAGTTTAAAGTCCTTTGCTACTGCTCCTGCCATCCACGTGATCTGTAACATAAGGGACAATCCAAGATGCCTTATACTGACTTATGAAAAAGCAACACACATACGCACTCAGCCAGATTGTGGCACAGATGGTGGACATCTGGGTACCCGTAAAGATCGGGGCACTCATATACTTTAGGCTTAAGCAGATGCTGTCAAGGTAAGATCGAGTAAGGACCTGGGGCCCCCACTTCATCCTCTTGGGCAGCCCAGATGAGTAGATGGTTGTGAATCATTTGACAGATTTTTGGGGGGAAGCTCCAAAAATTTCAGGAGAATTATAGTTACTGACCCCCAGGTGTTACAATGATTCAATGACTTGGTGTTTGTAAAGTATGCGAACAGTGTCTTGGTCATAGTAGGTGCTTTGTAAGTGTTTACTTAATTAATGTGTTTAGCTAAATATATTTAAAAGGGCCCTCCAGGCTGGGCATGGTCACTCACACCTATAATCCTAGCACTTTGGGAGGCTGAGGCGGGAGGTCGCTGGAGGCCAGGAGTTTGAGGTCAAGCTGGAAAACATAGTGAGTTCCCCTCTCTACAAAAAAAAGTTAAAAAAAAAAAAATTACCTGGATGTGGTGGTGTGTGCCTGCAGTCCCAGCCTCTCAAGAGGCTGAGATGGGATGATCCCTTGAACCCAGGAGTTTGGGGCTGCATTGGGCTGTGATCACACCACTGCACTCCAGTCTGGGTGACAGAGTGAGGCCCTGTCTGAAAAATAAATAAATAAAAATTTAAAAATAAAATGGCCCTTCTATGAGGGCAAGGCACCTTGGATTGTCCCTTATGTTACAGATCACGTGGATGGCAGGAGCAGTGGCAAAGGACTTTAAACTGACAGAAAAGCATGAGACGGTGGTCAGCTACCTCCCACTCAGCCACATTGCAGCACAGATGTTGGACATCTGGGTACCCATAAAGATTGGGGCGCTCACATACTTTGCTCAAGCAGATGCTCTCAAGGTAAGATCGAGTAAGGACCTGGGGCTCCCACTTCATCCTCTTGCGCAGCCCAGGTGAGTAGATAGTTGTTAATCATTCAACAGATTTTTTTGGGTGAGGCCCCAGGTCTAACGGTTTTTCCTCTGCCCTCATCTTAATGCTCTATTTAGAAGCATTAAAAACAAGACCAGGCACAGTGGCTCATGCCTGTATTCCCAGCACTCCGGGAGGCCGAGGCAGGCAGATTGCTTGAGCTCAGGAGTTGAGACCAGCCTGAGCAAGATGGCGAAACCCCTTCTCTACAAAAACCAATAATAATAACAGTAAATTTTTCTTAAAAAAAAAAACACCTGACCAAATAAAACAACTTTTTTTTTTAAACCAACTGGCTACATTCTCCTAGTTTTTATCTTTATCCAAGTCAGGGCATCCATGTATGGTTATGTAGATTGAACACTGAACAACCCAAGACAAAGATGTACTTGGTATTGAAAGTAAAATGTGTGTGTGTGTGTGTGTGTGTGTGTTTTTATAAGTCTATATTCCCAAATCTAAAAAGCTCCAAAAAAACAGGAGCTTTTGGCAGCAAAGTCGGATCTGAATTGATACGATGTTGTTTGTGGTCTTCATTTTATTCCACTTGCTGGGATTATGCATATATTTGAGTGTAGAACTTTTATACCACCTTTTCTTAAGTATTATCTTTGCCTTTCTACTGTGGTGAGGATTTCGCTCCCTTCCTCTCCCGTCTCCTCATTTCTCCTTCCCCATTCTCTCAATATAAATTATTCTTAGTTAACTGAGCCAAGTAGTTTATTATATGATAACATTTCCTGTTTGGTACAACTTTTTGTTTTTCCCAGAATTAATAGTTGCCTTTCTTTTCCAATTTGGTGAAGTTTCTGCATATATGTCCAGTTGCTCCATCTGATCTGTCACATGCTTATCAATATTCTCCAAATGTTCAAATATTCATTGCATTATTATTATTATTATTATTATTATTATTTGAAATGGAATCTTGCTCTGTTGCTTGGGCTGGAGTGCAGTGCCATGATCTTGGCTCACTGCAACCTCTGCCTTCCAGGTTCAAGCAATTCTTGTGCCTCAGCCTCCCAAGTAGCTGGAACCGCAGGCCTGTGCCACCATGCCTGGATAATTTTTGTATTTTTAGTAGAGATGGGGTTTCACAATTTTGGCCAGACTGATCTCGAACTCCTGACCGCAGTTGAGCCTTGGCCTCCCAAAGTGCTGGGATTACAGGCATGAGCCACTGCATCCAGCTTCATTGCATTATTCTTTTCCTCCATCCTTCTGCACTTAGCTGGACTGTTGTTTTAGGTTGTCCTAGGCTGGGTATCCTAGAAGCAAAATCTGAGTTGGAGATCTTTGTGATTTATCAATGGGGAGCTCTCAGGTGAAAACCAAAAGGAAGTGAGGAGAGAAGGATAGGCTGGGAGAAAAAACAAGAAAGGACATACATTCAGCTGGATTGTAACTTCAGACTGATCCCATAGGAAGCTCTGAGGCATGAATGACACCAGAGTTGTTCCACTTTGAGGCAAGGAGGCTGTGCTTTTGTATCCCCAACTCAGATAGTCATTGGCTGTGGGCTCAGGCACCCATGTGGGATAGGGAGCATAACTTCCCAGTTATTTCTAAGTAAGGGCTGTTTTCTGGAAAAGAGAGAACTGTGGGCCACTAGAGATGTGATAGGACATTAACAGCATCTTCTACAAGCTGCCATAAAGGGATACCCCTTCTCCCCACTCCTGGGTTGGATCCCCTGTTTTCTGGGGTCTTTGCCTTTTTTTGGATTATTCCTTGATTTAGCTGGAAATCATTCACTGGTAGGTTTTGCAAAGTAGTTATATGAGAGAACACTTTGATTTCTTTTTAAAATATTGTGTTCATTTTTTTTTAGAGACAAGGTCGTGCTCTGTCACCCAGCCTGGAATGCAGTGGCATGATCATAGCTTACTGCAGTCTTAAATTCCTGGGCTCAAGGGATCCTCCCATCTCAGCCTCCCCTGTCGCCAGGACTACAGGCATATGCCACCATGCCTGATTAATTTGTTTTACAGTGATTTCCTACATGTCTGGACTTTGCAAACAGAGCCAGAAAAGAACTCTGACATTTTCCCCAAGTTACATTCTCTGAATTAGTTTCCTGTTAATGCCACAACAAATGAATAGAAACTTAGTGACTTAAAACAACATTTATTTATTTAGAGACAGAGTCTCGTTTTGTCACACGGGCTAGAGTGCGGTGGCAGTGGCGTGATCTCAGCTCACTGCAACCTCCGCCTACGAGTTAAGCGATTCTCGTGCCTTAGCCTCCCAAGCCGGGATTACAGGCATGCACCACCATGCCCAGCTAATTTTTGTATTTTTAATAGAGACGGGATTTCACCATGTTGGCAAGGCTGGTCTTGAACTCCTAACCTGAAATGACCCACCTGCCTCAGCCTCCCAAAGTGCTGGGATTACAGGCGTGATCAAGTGTGCCTGGTCCATTTATTATCTTATAGTTCTGGTGGTCAGAAGTCTGAAAATGGGTCTCACTGGGCTAAAATCAATACGTCATCAGGGCTACATTCACTCTAGAGGTTCTTGGGGCGAATCCATTTCCTTGCCTTTTCCAGCTTCTAGAGGCCACCTATGTTCCTTATCTCAGGGCCCCTTCCTCCATCTTCACAGCCAGCAGGGCAACCTCTTCCCCTCTCTGACTCTGACTCTCCTGCCTCCCTCTTGTAAGGACCCTGTGATGACCCTGGGCCACCCAGATCATCCAGGATGATCTCCCATCTCAAGATTCTTAACTTAATCCCATCTACAAAGTCCTTTTTACCATGAAAGAGTATACATTCACAGGTCCCAGGGGTTAGAACGTGGACATCTTTAGGGGGCCATTATTTTGCCTCCCACACTCTCCATCAAGCAGGCTAAATCTTAGGGCCTTTGTACATGCTTCTAGAAGGTTCTTGCTCTTGTTCTTTGCAGGGCTGACTCTTCTTTGTCACTTAGCTCTCTGCTAAATAGTTCCTTGGCCCCTCTCGATCCCTCTCACATGCCCCATGCTCAGTGCCTGAGATGTGTTAGGTCTTCAATACATATTTCCTTTTTTGGCTGAATACATAATACATACACATTTACCTACAGGACCTGAGAAGTTCCCATTTTCCCACATCCTTACCAACTCCTAATATTGTCAGAATGTTTAAAACTTGTCAATCTGAATAGAGACAAAAGTGTCTTAATATTTTCAGAAATTTCCAGACTGTTTGCTAAAGTAAGTGCACCAGAACTGTGTGAAGGTTACAGTTTCTCTACATCTTCACTAACGCATGTTATTCTTATTATTATTTTTATTATTATTGCCATTCTAATTTGTTTTTTATTTTATTATTTTTATTATTTTGCCATTTTTATTATTTTTTATTATTGCCATTTTAATTTGCATTTCCTTGATGATTAATGATAGTGAGCACCTCTTCATGTGTTTATTGACCTTTTACATATCTTCTTTGGAAAAAGAAATCTGTTCAAATAGTTTGCCCATTTACAAATTTGGTTGCTCTTTCTGTGCTAGCATGACTAGTAAAAAGAAGAGTAAAAGCCGGGCACAGTGGCTCATGCCTGTAATCCCAGCACTTTGGGAAGCCAAGGCAGGCAGATTGCTTCAGGTCAAGAGTTCAAGACCAGCCTGGCCAACATGATGAAATTCTGTCTCCTCTGTCTCTATTAAAAAAAAAAAAAAAAAAAATTAGCCAGGTTTAGTGGCGTGCATTTGTAATCCCAGCTACTCAGGAGGCTGAGACAGGAGAATAGCTTGAACCTGGGAGGCAAAGGCTTCAGTGAGCCGAGATGGTGCCACTGGACTCCAGCCTGGGTGACAGAGGGAGATTCTGTCCAAAAAAAAAAAAAAAAAAAAGAAAAAAAAGAAGGAAGGAAGGAAGGGAAAAAAAAAAAAAAAAAAGAAAGAACGAAAGAGAGAGGAAGGAAAAGAAGAGAAGAGAAAAGAAAAGAAAGAAAATTTAAAAAGAAAAAAAAAAAAAAGAATTGGTTGCACATCTAATCTTTTCTTTTTTTGAGACAGAGTCTCACTCTGTCGCCCAGGCTGGAGTGCAGTGGCGCGATCTCAGCTCACTACAGGTGAACTCACTGAGTGATCTCAGCTCACTCAGCTCACTGCAGCTCCACCTCCCAGGTTCACACCATTCTGTTGCCTCAGCCTCCCGAGTAGCTGGGACTACAGGTGCCTGCCACCACGCCCAGCTAATTTTTTTTGTATTTTTAGTAAAGATGGGGTTTCACCATGTTAGCCAGGATGGTCTCAATCTCCTGACCTTGTGATCCGCCCGCCTTGGCCTCCCAAAGTGCTGGGATTACAGGTGTGAGCCACCGCACCTGGCCTGCATATCTAATCTTATTGTTGAGTGTTAAGGGTTCTTTATATATTCTGGTTACAAATCCTTTACCAAATTTGTGGTTTGCAAATACTTTCTCCCAGTTCTATGGCTTGTTGTTTCCTCAATAATCTTTCGAAGAGAAAAAAAGTTCAAGTTGGATGAAGTTTGATTTATCTATTTTCTTTTATGCTTTTGGTATCCTATCTAGGAAATCTTTGCCTACTCTAAAGTCACAGAGATTTTCTTCTACGTTTTCTTCCAAAAGGCTTTTAGTTTGAGCTCTTACATTTAGGGCCATAATACATTTTGAGGTAATTTTCACGTTTGGTGAGAAATAAGGCTCTAACCCTAAGTTTTGTGGAAGTGTTTGTTTATTTCGTTTTGCATTTGAATAGTCTCCCCTCTCCACTAAATTGCCTTGGCATTTTGTTGAAAATCAATTGATCATAAATGTAAGGTTTTGTTTCTGATCTTCTGTTTTGTTCCACTGATCTGCATTTCTGTCTTTACGCCAAAGCCACACTGACTTGATCACACTAGCTTGATAGCAGGATGGCGAAATTTTCCTGGTTTGCCTGGGACTTCCCCAGTTTTAAAACAGAAAGTTTCACATTTCAGATACTCCTGCAGTTCTGCAGTAAACCAGGATGGTTGTTCATCCTACTTTAGAATAAATTTTAAAATCAGGTAGTAAGTCCTCCAATTTTGTCTTTCTTTTCCAGAATTGCTTTGGCTATTCTAGGTCCTCTGCATTTCTATATAAATTTTAAAGTCGGCTTGTCAATTTGTATTTAAAAGCAAAACAAAACAAACAAACAAACAAAAACCTGCCTAGATTTTGATAGGGATTGCATTGAACCTATAGGTCTCTTTGGGGGAGAATCTTGCATCCTTTTTTAACAGTTGTACAATATTTCACTGCATGCTTGGACCACAGTTTCTTTAGCCAACCCCTTGTCGTTGAACCTGTAAGCTGTTTCCATTCTGTTACAAAACAGTGTTGCAAAGAACATCTTGAATGTGTTTCTTTGTGTGCCTGAGTCTTTCCTTCAGCTGAATTCCTTTACCCACAGAAGTGAAGTTGACAGGTTGCATTTAAAATGTTAATAGTACTGTCATGTTACCTTCCAAAAATATCTTACCACTTTATGCTTCTCATCAAATCCCTAGAGAGAGTGCAAAAATCTGATTGGCCAACCCAGCCAGTGGGTTGTCTCCTTTGGGCTGGGAGCCCTGCATAATCTGATAGGTGAAGGAATGTTCTCTTGGGCAGAGTTGGGTGGATCGGGAGAGATGGACATCCCTGGTGCACAGGAAATCCCTGCTGTGGCTAACCTAGCTTCGTTACATACAGGGCACCTTGGTAAATACTCTACGGAAGGTAAAACCCACTATCTTCATGGGAGTGCCCCAGATTTGGGAGAAGATACATGAGACAGTGAAGAAAAAGAGTGCCAAGTCCACAGGCTTGAAGAAGAAGGTGTTCGTGTGGGCAAGAAACACTGGCTTCAAGGTCAACTCAAAAAAGATGTTGGGGTAGGTGCAGCATCCAGAGGATTGGGAGGGTAGTTGGTGAGGAGGCTCAGCCTTCTCCACAGGGTCCCATCAGCCCCTTTCCACTTGATGGCATTCTTATTCACAGGAAATATAATACTCCCATGAGCTACCGCGTGGCTACGACTCTCGTGTTCAGCAAAGTCAAGACGTCCCTTGGCTTGGATCACTGTCACTCTTTCATCAGTGGGGCTGTGCCTCTCAACCAAGAGACTGCCGAGTTCTTTCTAAGCTTGGACATACCTATAGGCGAGTTGTATGGGTTGAGTGAAAGCTCGGGACCCCACACAATATCCAACCAGAATAACTACAGGCTTCTAAGGTACCAGCCCCCGGGGCAGACCCCTGCTCCTCCCATAACATGGGGTCAAGAGGGGGAAGGTGGGTATATAGATGGGCCTCTGGGTTAAGAGGAATCCTGACGAGGTGTGTCCAGAATGATCCTCTTCTCCAGCCTCCAACTCCTAACTCTGCATGACCATGGGAAACCCTGGATGGTCAGAGAGCCCACAGATAAGGGGGATGGCTCTCTGAACATTCCATGGTCTCCCCGTCTGTCATTTGTGAGTTCTGCCTCCAAGTTCACCGCCTGTGACCTCAGCACCTTTCATCCCCATGATCCCCCATCTCAGAACACCTCCATGGCCCATTCCTGGCTTTCTCCCAAGCTCAGCTTGCCCTAGGCTGCAAGGTTGAACCCAATGATAAGAAAACTTTAGGAATACCAAATTCAGGTCCAACTCCCCATCTGACAGCAGTCATAGTCATAGAATCTTCTAGTTGTGTCTCTCCCGACTCCCTCCTTTTAGCATGGGTGAGGTTTGAAAAAAATCTTTTCATATATATGTTTATTTTTAAAAATTTAATTTAAAAATCTTTTTAGAGACAGGGTCTCATTTTGTTGCCCAGGCTGGAGTGCAATGGTACAATCATAGATCACTGTAACCTCAAACTTCTGGATTCAAGCATTCCTCCTGCCTCAGCCTCCCAACTAGCTGGGACTACAGGCATAAGCCTCCATGCTTGGCAATTTTGTAACAACTTTTTTTGTAGAGATGGGGTCTTGCTATGTTGCCCAGGCTGGCCTTGAACTCCTGGACTCAAGCAATCCTCAGCCTCCCACAGCGCTGGGATTACAGGCATGAACCACTATGCCCAGCCTTTTCATACACTTAAAAGTCATTTTCCTTTCCTATGAGCTATCTGTCAATATTATCTGCCTGTTTTAAAAATTAGATTATTGGGTCCTTTATTATTGGTTTGTTGGCACTCTTTACATATTAGGAAAATCAGCCCTTTGTCTTTCATATGAGTTACAAATATTTTATTCCCTGGCTTGTCATTGGTATTCTGATTTTAGTTAAGATGTTTTTTTACTTTGCAGAAATTTGTGGTCACAAATTTAGATGGTTGAACTTACCAATCTTTTCTTTTATGGCTTCTGGATTTTTCTACATACCTAAAAAAGTTTCAGTGGGGGAAATCATAAGGCAGCTCTTCGTAAATTTTAAATTTCTCAGGTCTGTCTCCATTTTTTCTTTTGCTAACCGGGGGAATACCTACATTTAACCCTGGGACCACTGGCCTTGCTAACAGTTAATCAAAGAGATCTCAGCAACACAAGGAGAAAATATTTCCTTTCCTGCATCCTAGAACTACCCTGGCCAATGCTATCTCTAGGGAGAAAAAAAAAAAAAAAAAGTAAGAAGAAGAATCCAGATTTCAAATAGTGCTACTCTGTTTTATGAAAGTAACTTTTACCTCTAAAGAGATTGTAGTTGGTTGTCATACTTAAAATTAGCTGTCTGAATCACTGCAGAGAGGTCTACCTATCTGTTTTCTTAAAAATCAGGGGGTTTTGTTCCTATCCTTAAGCCAAAAGCATTTTTTTCTTTGCCAGCATATGTGGAAATTAAAAAAAAAAAAACAAAAAAACAAAAAACAGCCTGAAATGCTGCTGGATTTTCTTTCATTTTTTGTTTTCGTTTGTTTTATGAGATAGAGTCTTGCTCTGTTGCCCAGGCTGGAGTACGGTGGCGTGATCACTACTCACTGCAGCCTTGACCTCCTGGGCTCAGGTGATTCTCCCACCTCAGCCTCCCAAGTAGCTGGGACAACAGGTATGCACCACCATGCCCAACTTCTATTTTTTATTATTTTTGTAGAGACGGGTCTCTGTATGTTGCCCAGGTTGGTCTTGAACTCCTGGGCTCAAGCAATACTCCCTCCTCGGCTTTCCAAAGTGTTAGGATTACAGGCGTGAGCCACCGCACCCGGCCACCGCTGGGTTTCCCGGTTCACAAAGCCTTTGGGAATCTGACACGCTGGATTAAACACTGCAGCAAACACCTCCTTCTGTGCACTCAGGTGCATATCCAGCCTGCTATAGTTGAGCAGAGTATTAGGTGCCTAGGCTGAAGATACAGGCAGAGCTGGGTGGCTGACTTTGTCTCTATGAGCCTCAGTTTCTCTGCTTCTGTCCCCTGGCAGCTGTGGTAAGATCTTGACTGGGTGCAAGAATATGCTGTTCCAGCAGAACAAGGATGGTATTGGGGAGATCTGCCTCTGGGGTAGGCACATCTTCATGGGCTACCTGGAAAGTGAGACTGAAACTACAGAGGCCATCGATGATGAAGGCTGGCTACATTCTGGGGATCTGGGCCAGCTGGACAGTCTGGGATTCCTCTATGTCACTGGCCGCATCAAAGGTACCAGGGGCTGAGTTCTTTGGGAATCTCCTGCAAGCAGGCCCACCCTGAACATTTAAGGGCCCAGCGTACCAGCACAAAGGCCACCTCCAGTTCCTCATCTTCCAAGAGGAGCTGTGCAGAAACACCTCAGTCTGTACAACCCAGCTCTATCCTCCTGTCCAGCAAACGGTTACCCCTTGGTCACTTGGTATCCCATGGTCCACCCTCAGGACCTGCAAAAGACAAGCCTTGAAGCCCGTTTCAGAATAGTACCAGCCCAGAGGAAAACTCAGTAAGAGGAGGATACAGAAATTCCCTGTGACATCATTTTGGCACCTTGATCCAGCCATACCTGAAGCCAGGGAGCTTCTGAAACTTGTCAGTGCAGTTTTACTTTTTTTTAACTCAAACTCATTCAAGCTGGCTCAAATGGGTTTGAGTAAAAAAGTGCCATTTTCTTCCTCTGCATTTTCAGAGGATAATAATCTACAGAGTTGTAAGGATTAAAGAAAGTATAGAACAAGGATAAGCCAACTTTTCCTGAAGAGCACCCTTTAGCAAATATTTTTGGGTTCACAAAACATGTGTCTCTGTTGCAGCTTCTCAACTCGGTGATTTGTAGCATAAAAACAGCTGTTGACAACACATAAAGAATGGGTGTGGCCAGCTGCCAATATGAATATCATAATTTTTATGTGTCAAAAATATTCTTCTTTTGACTTCCAACAACTTAAAAATGTAAAATTCATTTTTAGCTTTTGGTCATACAAAATTGAATAATGGCCTGGATTTGGCCACTATGGGCCATAGTTTGCTAAAACCTGATGGAGAACACTCAGTGCTTTTTTACCCAAACCCATTTAAGATGGCTTTAAATAGGTTTGGGGGGGGGGGGAAGCAAAACTGTTGACTCAACATAACTGAAAAGGTCAGTTGGCCAAAAGGATAGCTGGCTTCAGGTATGGCTGGATCTGGGTGCCAAAATGAGGTCATAAGAAATTTTAAAATTCTTTTCTTGAGTTTTCCTCTGTGCTGCTACTATTTTACTTTTGAGAAAGGGTCTCACTCTGTTGGCCAGGCTGGAATGCAGTCTCCAATTATGACTCACTGTGGCCTCGACTTCCCAGGCTTAGGTGATTCTCCCACCTCAGCCTCCTGAGTAACTAGGATTACAGGCGCATGCCACCACACCGCACTATTTTTTCGCAGAGACCCGGTTTCACCATGTTGCCCAGGCTAGTCTAGCACTTGTGGGCTCAAGTGATCTGCCCACCTCAGCCTCCCAAAGGGGCAGGATTATAGGTGTGAGTCACTGCACCTGGCCACTAGTGTTTTTGTTTTGTTTTGTTTTGTTTTTTTGAGATGGTGTTTCACTTTTGTTACCCAGGCTGGAGTGCGGTGGCACAATCTTGGCTCACTGCAACCTCCGCCTCCCAGGTTCAAGTGATTCTCCTGCCTCAGCCTCCCGAGTAGCTGGGATTACAGGCACACACCACCAAACCTGGCTAATTTTTGTATATTTAGTAGAGATGGGGTTTCACCATGTTGGCCATGCTGGTCTCGAACTCCTGACCTCAGGTGATCCACCCGCCTCAGCCTCCCAAAGTGTTGGGATTACAGGCGTGAGCCACTGTGCCTGGCCGTTGCTTTTTTTTTTTTTTTTTCCTGAGATGGAGTCTCCCACTGTCACCCGGGCCGGAGTGCAGTGGTGCAATCTCGGCTCACTGCAACCTCTGCCTCCTGGCTTCAAGCGATTCTCCTGCCTCAACCTCGCAAGTAGCTGGGATTACAGGCGCACGCCACCACACACGGCTAATTTTTGTATTTTTAGTAGCGACGGGGTTCCACTATGTTGGCCAGGCGGGTCTCAAACTCCTGACCTGGTGATCCGCCCACCCCAGCCTCCCAAAGGCTATTCTTAAATAAACTTTGCCATCTGGTAGCAAGAAAGCTACCAACAGTCTAAGCTGACCTCTAACCCCGCAAGGGGACTAGAGTGTATCATTCTCAATGTTTTCAGCAAACGTTTTAGGTCTCTCATTGGATCCTTGAGTCAAGATCTGGCTCAGAATGAATCACTGTAGGGGGTGAAATAATGCTGATTGGTCAGAGCTGGTCACATGCTCACCCCTGCAGTCCAACCCACCCAAACCACATTAAAAAGTGGAGAGTAGTTCCCACTCAGTACTCTTACCCCAAGAAGGCATTACACACTTACGTCCATTTCATGGTCATATTTATTATTACTGCTATTAATGACCACAGTAAAGGTGACTTTGTGAGTCTCTGGGACAAGGGGGAATGAGTTTGAGTGGGTGGGAAAGACAGAGGGAAGCATCTCAGGATGAAAGAACAAGTGACCAGTGGGTCTGGGGCAGGAGGAGACGCTGTTGAAGAATCTGAGAGACTAAGGGAGATTCTTGCAGAGTTTGCCAAAATTAGGGTTACTACACATGTCCCTGGGGGTAAGACTGGAATTACATTACATTCTGAAGGGGTTACTAAGTGACTAGGAGGCAACAGACAGGCAAGGTGTGGCCAAAAAGGCTTCACTATCTTTCAAGGAAGACATATTGGAAGAACCTAAAACCAGGGCATGGTGGACCAGGAGATAGGAAATGAATTATTAAGATGCTGTCCAAGTGGAAGTCACAACTTTGGACACTTGATGATAATTAAAAGTGGGTGGGGGAAGAGGGCCAGGTCCTCCTGTGCTTCTGGGGCTTTCTGGGTGAGTGTTGGCCATGCCAGCAGCTGCCCTTCTGATCTTCAAGGGGCTGGGGGTTCCACGTTGTCATGGCTGGACATGTACCAAGTCAAGCTCTGTTCCAGAAATCCTTATCACTGCTGGTGGTGAAAACGTGCCCCCCATTCCCGTTGAGACCTTGGTTAAGAGGAAGATCCCCATCATCAGTAATGCCATGTTAGTAGGAGATAAACTGAAGTTTCTGAGCATGTTGCTGACGCTGAAGGTAACATGGGTTTTCTGTCATTGGGGGAAGTCTCTGCAGCCGCTCTTACGTTCCCTGGCCCCACCCCAGGGCCAAGAGGATGCATCTGTGGGTTCAAGACCCACTTCTTGGTCTGTGGGCCTGGGGAGGGGTGCTGGTCAAGGAGTATGTGTGGTGACAGAGGTGTCCGGGGGCAGTGTGAGATGAATCAGATGAGCGGAGAACCTCTGGACAAGCTGAACTTGGAGGCCATCAACTTCTGCCGGGGTCTGGGCAGCCAGGCATCCACCGTGACTGAGATTGTGAAGCAGCAAGACCCCCTGGTCTACAAGGCCATCCAGCAAGGCATCAATGCCGTGAACCAGGAAGCCATGAACAATGCACAGAAGATTCAAAAGTGGGTCATCTTGGAGAAGGACTTTTCCATCTATGGTGGAGAGCTAGGTGAGTGGTCATGACATTTGGAGACTGGTCCCTTGTTAGCATCCGGGACTGTGTGGGCTCTGAAGAGACAGGTCCTTTTCTGAAGGTCAGAGGGTCTGTGAGACCAGCCAGGGACCAGGAGAGGGATGCTGCCACCTCTAGCTAACTGGTCCTCAGCTCCTCATCTTGGAAATAAAATCCAAACTCCTTACTATAGCTCTACACAATCTCTCTCCTACTGACCTTTCATTCACTCTGCACCAACTCTATGGGCTTTCTTGATGTTCCTGCAGCTCTCTGGGCTTTGTCCAACTATAGGGCCTTTGCACTTGCCAGTCTGCCTCCCTGGTAATACCCTTCCCCCTCAATTCCTTGCCTGGATGGTTCCTTCTCATGGTCCAGGTCTCACCCTACAGGCCTCTTCCTCCTCAGAGCAGCCTTGTTACAGGACCACCAGGTTTGTATGCCCACTGCACACTAGTATACCAATACACTGAGACAGCAGGGGATGCAGCAAAGACAGAGTTTCATTATGGCCAGGCACAGTGACTCATGCATGTAATCCCAACACTTTGGGAGGCTGAGGTGGGCAGACTGCTTGAGCCCAGGAGTTTGAGACCAACCTGGGCAACATGGTGAAATACTATTTCTACAAAAAATACAAAAATTAGCTGGATATGGTGGCATGTGCCCAGCTACTCAGGAGGCTGAGAGGATCGCTTGAGCCCGGGGAGGTAAAGGCTGCAGTGAGCCACGATCATGCCACTGCGCTCCAGCCTAAGCAATGGAGACCCTGTCTCAAAAACAAAAAAACAAACAACAAAAATAAAAATAAAAAAGGAAATTAAATTCCCTTGCAGGGAAGCCAACTGAGATGGAAAGAACCCTCAAATCTCTCTTTGAGGAATTCTGGGCTGGGGTTTTAAGGGGATCTTTGGGGGTGAAGGGCTGGAAAGTCAGTCATTGATTGGTTGGGGTAAGGGGGATGAAATCATCTGGATGTGGAAGCTACATTCTTTGGTAATTCAGCTCCTGTGGGGTCCTTCAGATCAGTGGGCATCAGTAGTTTCACTGGTATGCAGGACTTGAAAAGATATCTCAAATGGAAAACTTAACCTTTCACAATGCTTAATATGTTATCTGTAGAGCAGTTAAGGGGAACTCTATCTTGTGACTGGGTTTTTTTGTGATTCTGGGGCAATAGGCAGACAGCTAGCTATGAGGAAGGGGTCAGAGAGCAAACTGACCTAATGATGAATGTTGAGTGTGTTTTAAGTGTGGCTGATTTTAGTTTCTCCCCCTCCCTTCTTCTCTGATTAATATTATAAAGTTTTTAGGAATGGTTTCAGCCTTCCCTGACCATGCTGGCTTAAGTGGCTTGCCATTGTCCTTAATATTTCACCCTGTAGCTCACTGTCACCCCCATTATACCACCTTGTCTTCTTTAAAGCATCAGAACATGAAATTATTCTCTGTATGAGTTTTATTTTTGCCTCTCTTTGCCTATGAGGGAAGGGCTCACTCCAGAGTGGGGATACTGGATTCTACCAATGTACTTTCATTTGGGAGTTTGCTGTCAGTGCTTGGCTGTAATCTGATGGTGTGGATGGAAGAGTCAGAGCAAGCATGTGGCATTGAACAACCTGGGTTGAAATCCTGTCCCTTCTACACAGGGAAGTGACTTGTCCTACTGAGCCTTGTTTTTTGTTTGTTTTGAGACAGAGTCTCGCTCTGTTACCCAGGTTGGAGTACAATGGCATGATCACGACTTGCCGCTGCAGCCTTAAACTCCCAGGCTCAAGCAATCCTCCCACCTCAGCTTCCTGAGTAGCTGGGACGAGTGTGTGCCACCATGTGTGGCTATTTTCTTTTTGTTTTGTAGAGATGGTGTTTTGCCGTGTTGTCCAGGCTGGTGGTCTTCTCAACTATAAGCTGAAAAACAGTCCTTGTGGGGTTGCTTGAGACACGCAGAGAGGTCATCAATGCCCCTGGTGACTCAGAGGCTTTCAACGAAAGTCCTGGGCTGAGGGAGCAGATAACTCCCAGTTTAATTCTTGATTCTGCCATGCACTTGCTGGCTGACCTCAGAGGAACTGGTCCTCTCTATGTTCCAGTTTCCTCACCTGTAAAATGGGGATAGGGGCATGGTTTGAGATGATGATATCCCTCCTCCATTGGGTACACAGTCCACATCAGGCACAGAATGCAGCATGCTCTTCACCTTCCACCTCACAGAATCCTCACCACAGCTGAAGGATCACATGGAAGTTTTATCATCCCCATACAGATGGCAAAAGTTACACACCCTGAAAGTCAATGGCACAGCCAGCCACCCAGCCTAGCCCGAGGCATGGGACTCTGTTGCCTGGTCATGCATGGGACTCTGTTGCCTGGTCATGCATGGGTATATGGAATTTTCTTTTATCTCCATAACTCAATTGATTTCTCCTTTCTCAATAGGTCCAACGATGAAACTTAAGAGACATTTTGTAGCCCAGAAATACAAAAAACAAATTGATCTCATGTACCACTGACTGCTTTGATGGAGCTGCTGTCAGCTGTTCTGATGGTGAGATTCAGTTGCTTGGCTTTGCTGGGCTATGCATTCAGAGTCCAAGAGAGGGCTCCACTGTGTGGCAGGCAGATCTGTGATTGGAATTGCAGAACACACAGACACAGACACAGACACACACACACACACACACAGAGTTGCAGTGGGTTCTGAGCAGCAGGCTTCAACTCATGCTGTCTGCAACTTCAGCAGGCTTCAACTCATACCAGGGTCATGGTAGGGTATGTAAACTCCTTCAGCTAGCCACCAGTGTTGTGAGCTGTGCTTCCTGCCTTTTCTATTTGTTTCTAGAAAGCAGGAGGCAATAAATCCCAAATGTCTCTTTGGGTCTTATTTGGAGAAGGCCTTTTGTCAGAAACTTTCGTGGAGAAAGTTCTACTTGCCAGGAATCCAAGGAATGAGGTGTGTTGGCCCATTACACAGATTCATAAGGGATGGAGGCTTGAACTTCCACTACCCACCATTTCTCCTCTCCTCTCCCCAAGGTATGTGCAGAGGGAGGCTCCATGACACCATGAATCACTGATAGTTTTTTTTTGTTTGTTTTCTTCACTAGTTGCACAATGCAGGCAGAAAGTAGAATGCATCTTCAATTGTCCTATAAGCTGCCTGTAACCTTCTCCTGGGCAAATTGTTCTAATGCCACCAGCCAACCCATGTTTTAGTTTGCTGGGGCTACATAACAAAGTACCACAGACTGGAGGGCTTAAACAACATAAACGTATTGTCTCACAGATCTGCAGGCTAAAAGTGTGAGATTGAGAGGCTGGTTGGCTTGGTTCCTTCTGAGGGCTGTGAGGGGAGGATCCATTCCAGACCTCTCTCCTTGGCTTGCTGATGGCTGTCTTCTCTCTGTGTCTTCACATCATCTTCCCTGTGGGTGTCTCTGTGTTCAAATTTCCCTTTTATAAGGACAGGTTAATAAGACTAGGGCCCACCCTAATGACCTCATTTTAACTTCTGTAATGATCCTGTTTCCAAAGAAGTTACATCCTGGCTGGGCGCCGTGGCTCAAGCCTGTAATCCCAGCACTTTGGGAGGCCGAGACGGGCGGATCACGAGGTCAGGAGATCGAGACCATCCTGGCTAACACGGTGAAACCCCGTCTCTACTAAAAAATACAAAAAACTAGCCGGGCGAGGTGGCGGGCCCCTGTAGTCCCAGCTACTCGGGAGGCTGAGGCAGGAGAATGGCGTAAACCTGGGAGGTGGAGCTTGCAGTGAGCTGAGATCCGGCCACTGCACTCCAGCCTGGGCGACAGAGCGAGACTCTGTCTCCAAAAAAAAAAAAAAAAAAAAAAAAAAAAAGAAGAAGTTACATCCTGAGGTACTAAAGGTTAGGACTTCAACATGTGAACTGTGGAGGGGTACAACTCAGCCTGTGACTCATCACATCCATTGTCCTTGGTTCAGTGTTAACTGGTTTAACCCCTTCTGCACCTTCATGTATCGATGTCTTGTGGGTGGGCCAGCAGTTCAACGTACCACATTCATAATTCTTCATCTTTCGTGAGATTTCCAATTTCACTTTCCAGTTGAATGAGAAACCATTGGACGTTGATGTGGGAGTGAGAGATGGACCCTCTTATACCAGTGCTGTCCAATATGGCAGCCACTGGCCACAATGTGGCCTGTCCAAACCAAGATGTGCTGTAATACGTAAAACACACACTGGGCTTCAAAAGCTCAGCACAAAATATATATATATATATATATATAAAATAAAATATCATTTTTATATATAAAAATAAAATATCAGTATTTTAAAATTTTGATTACATGTTGAGATGATATTCTGGAATACTGGGTTACATAACATATTTATTATTAAAAGTACTTTTACCAGTTTTAAATTTGTATTTACTTTTTAGAGACAGGATCTTGCTCTGTTGCTCAGGCTGGAGTGCAGTGGTGCAATCATACCCAATGTTTTAAATGTTTGTGTGGGGATAAGGTCTTTCTATGTTGCCCAGGTTGGTCGCAAACTCCAGGCCTCAAGCGACCCTCCTGCTTCAGCATCACGAAGTGCTGTGATTACAGGTGTGAGCCATTGTGCCTGGCCAAGTTCCTTTTTTAACAATGTGGCTGCTAGGAGAAAGGCGTAAACCCGGGAGGTGGAGCTTGCAGTGAGCTGAGATTGCGTCAATGCACTCCAGCCTGGGAGACAGAGCGAGACTCTGTCTCAAAATAAATAAATAAATAAAAACTTTTAAAAAGTGGCTGCTATACATTTTTAAATTGCATAGGTGGCTCTAGTAATGTTTCTTTTGGATAGTGCCACTCTAAAGTTCATTGTGGGGAGATTTTGGGTGATGGCCAATTTATAAATGGATGAATTCACTGGGGAATATTTTCATCATATGGTGACTGTGGGATCTTGGAGACTGAATGCACATATTACGAGATCCCCCAGTGATAACTTGTGTTTCTCCTCTTTGCAGCCTTCAGCAGGAAGACCTCATTGCAATAAGTGAAATCCTGCTCTGGGTAGAAGCTCTTCCTGCTGTTTTTAAGGAGCCACATTCCTCCTTGGTCAGTTTCTTGATTGTTCGTCTGTTGAAGAGGTGCTCCCTACAAGAACCTGTCATACATTTCAAAGCACTAAAATCATCGTAGATCTTTCTATGGACCTTCAAGTCATGACCCCAGGGAAGCCTTACTGGGAAGTCTACCAAGAGCTGCCTGATTTGGAAGAAAGATCTGAACTTGTGGGTTCCCATTTGATTTTTTTTTTTCTCCTCAGGGGACTTAAAGAGACATTAGAAAGAAAAAGCCTTCACAGATTTGAAGAACTGGGCCCCCAAATGAACACACCTGCCTGGAAGCAACTGGGAAACCCTTCCAATAAGTTCTGATAATAAAGCACTTCAGGGCCCCATGTCTTGATTTTTGGCTTGATACAAATACTTCGTCCTTTATTGAGTGTGATGGGGAGGGGCTTGGCCTCTGAAATCGGTTCTGGGTTCAGACTGTGACCAGCTGTGATTTCCACTGTCTGAGGCTCAGAGATTTTAAATCTGGAAAGTAGATCCCCATCTCGGAGGGCGGCCACGGAAGTTCATGGAGATGATGTACAGGGAATGCAGTGTCTGACTCCAGAAAGTCCTCGGTATGAGTTAATGGTTATCATCAACACAGTCAGTCTTGGTTAACTCAAGAGTCAAGGTATGACTCTTGACTAATTCCATCATTAGGGAGGAGTTTTGCTGTTGTAGTAAAATTCAATAATAACAACTGAAAGAAGATAGTTTATTCCTCTCCCATCGAACAGTCCATTATAAGCAGACCAGAGCTGAAACGGCGTATTCACAGTGTGTCCCTGAAATATTAGTAGGGAGAGTGGGAGAGGGAACATCTCCCAGGCTGGAGAGAAACAGCATATAAGGAGCAACAAAACTCCCAATGTCTCTTAAGGTTCTAGATACTGATCAGAGGCAGGCCAGAGACCCTTTTGAGTTCCATTTTTGAAATACACCAGAAATTTAAAATGGCATTCTCCTTGCAAAAAAAAAAAAAAAAACGCAATGCAGATAAGGCTAATGTCAACTTTGAGTGCTGTATTAGGCCATTCTTGCACTGCTATAAAGAAACACCTGAGATGGGGTCATTTATAAAGAAAAGAGGCTTAATTAATTAGCTCATGGTTCTACAGTCTTTACAGAAAGTATGGTGCTGGTGCCTGTTCAGCTTCTGGTGAAGCCTCAGAGAGCTCACAATCATGGCAGAGGGCAAAAGGGGAACAGGCATGTCTCATGGCGAAAGCAGAAGCAAGCCAGAGGGAGTGTCACACATTTTTAAATGACCACATCTTTCCAGAATGCACTATCGTGAAGAGAGCCCCAAGCCATGAGGGATCTGGCCCCCGCCGTGACCCAAACACCTCCACCAGGCCCCACCTCCAGCACTGGGGATTACAGTGCAACATGAGATTTGGGCAGGGACAAATATCCAAACCACATCAATGGCCCTCCTCAACTATTTGGTGGGCTTTTACTTTTTAATAAGTTAGTACAGTTGGTCCTCATTATTTGCCGATTCCGTATTTGCAAATTCGCCTCACCACTAAAATTTGCTTGTAAACCCCAAATCAATATTTATGGCACTTTAGAAGTCATTCCAGGACATACACAGGAGTGAAAAATTTGAGTGGCCGACTGTACATTCCCATGTGAGGTTGAACAAGGCGATGCTCTGGCTTCTTGTTTCAGCTGTCACACTGTAAACAGTACCCTTTCTGAGGTATATCTCACGCCACATTTTCTGCATTTTCGTGTTTCTGTTAGTAAACCTTTTTGAATTTTTTTAAAAATAGAACCAGGGCCTCAGTCTGTCACCCAGGCTGGAGTGCACCGGTGTGATCTCAGCTCACTGTAACTTCAAATTCCTGGGCTCCAGGGATCCTTTCCTGTCTTGGCCTCCTAAAGCACTGGGGTTACAGGTATGAGCCACTGAACTCAGCCAAACCCTTCTGATTTTATCCATGACTCTACTGTACAATTTTGGGTCAATATAATTCTGTTTTATAGCTTGTTTCTACTGTCCATGTGATCTCCCCACTTTTAGGTTTTCTAGGTAGTTAATGCTGGTATATGGAAAAGCTGTTGATTTTTGTATGTTAATATTATATTTAGACACCTCACTGCTAACCTATTTCTCAAAATGTGTAAGCTTTTTACAGAGATGCGCATATCTTTTGCAAATATTTTTTCACTTCCTTTTCAATACTGATTCCTCCTCAAGGAAATACAAATGGTTGATTATGTCAAGTGAGGGAAGCTCAAATACAGGAGAGGAATGTATGTGTTTTCTATAATGATTCTCACCCTGGTCTCACTGTTCTCTTAATGTTCTCTCAATGTTTTTTGAGAAACGACAAGAATCTGCTATCGTCAGGAAGGCTTTTAAAATTTAACTGTGGTAAAATATACGTAACATAAAATGTGTCGTTTTAACCCTTTGTTATTACACAGTTCAGTGGCATTAAGCACATTCACATCG